GTTAACTGCTTCGTATTTTTTTTCTTTTATCTGTATCTTTTTTTCTCCTTTAATTGTCATTACTTTGTTTGCTACGTCGATTACTGCTTCTAAATCTTTAAGGCTATCGTTGCCAAGAATGGCATCAAATGATTTTAGAGTTGGTAAAAGAAAAAACTTAATGTTACATTCTGGATAATTGAATAAATTGGCAAGTTTGTGGTGTGTTATTTCAATACTACCTCCTACAGTTATTGCTTTAAAAGGTGTTTCGTTAGGTTTTGGATTTGTAACATGCTTCGGCTGTATATAGTTTCTGTTTGAACCAGTATCGATAAGAATTTTGAAAATTTTGTGACCCCCCACTCGACATTCGAAATAGGGTAGCGAGGAGTCGCTCATTCTAAAAAATTCAAGTCTGTATTGGAGTATTGTGTGGTTTCTGGTTCGCTGTTTGCGTTCGCTTTCTCAATATACCCTGCCAAGCTCATGTCATATTCCTCCTGGTTGTTGATTTCTATCATTGCCTGCTCGTATCTTTCATAATCAGTCATGGTGGCGTAAGCCTCGGCATAGCCTTGTTCATTTTGTCCCTGACATTCTGCTCCCTCAGTGTTAAAGAGTCTTTGTCTTTTCCCGTCTTGGTTTATGGGGAATGTTGGCCTCTTACCGATCTCAAACTGAGGTCTGTTCATATAGTTGACCATCTTAGTTTGCATACTACGGTCGACGTCCATTGGTTCTGCTGGCTTGACAGCAGTCGGACGGGCTGGGGCTATTGGTTGGGTCTGGGTGGGTTGCGGCCAATATTGTTGTTGGCGACCAAATTGGTTTGGTGGTCTTTGAAATTGAACGGGCTGTACCTGGTTATAGCTGTAGAATGGTCTGGGTTGTGATATTAGTCTACGAGGCGGAATTGGAGGTGGATTCTGAGATGGTAAATATGTTGGAAGTATGTAAGTTGGGTTGTTTGATGGAGCCGGTATGAACCTACGAGGTGCCGGAATTGGGTTTTGGTCTATGTTTCTGAATTTCGAGTTTTGCTGTCTATTGTTTGCGTGGGTTATCCTATAGGTTTGATTTTCTAATTTCAGACACAAATGCAAAGCTTGCGGCAGGTCAGTTGGTTCCTTGACGCCGAGAAGGCGTGGTAAATCACCACGTAGGCCTCTTATAAATGCATCTAATGCCCTATCCCTATATGATTTTGTCATAACAACCTCAGTTTGTCGGTCTAAATTCATACAACTAACCTTGTTGAGGATTAAAGATAGGTGTTTGTAAATATTTTGGTAAAATTCCTCAACTGTCTGTTGTCCGTTTTGTATCATAGTGGTTAGTTGGTACTCCAATGTACTTAAGTCGCGTTTGTCCGCAAAGTGTAGAGTAAGGCATCGAGCAATTGCCTCCCAGTTTAGGGGCATATTGTAAGAGTCTAGTACTTGGTCTGCATGTTGGGTTATTTTACTACGGATAGTTTGTAAGATACCAAAGTATTTAGGTGACCCTTTAATACTAGAGTACGCCTCTAGAATCCTATCTACCCCCTTTTTCCAGGAGCTAAACTCAGCTGGATCTCCTGAAAATTCTCTCATTCCTTTCACTATGTCCGGTACGCGGTCTAAGTCTGCAGTATTGCCTCTAGAGTCGGGATCTATGCTATAGGCGGCTGCCTCAGCAAAATCGCTAGCATTGCTGTTACCACTCATGTTGCTTAAAATTGTTGCCAATCTATCGTTGATTATTCTGTCTATATAGTTTTCGATGGAATTTGTTTCACCACTACTATAATTTTGATTCATCGTCTGTCTACTTGCTGTTCGTTGCTGCTGTCTCTGGTTGTATTCGTCGTTATTGGCGTTGGTTGGTGCTGAAGTCGGAAATTCGTCCGTGTCAACTGTATTAAGTACTGCGGGTCGTAATAGATTATTCGGGTTGGCCATGGTTAGTTAATTTTTTGTAAGTAAAAGTGAATATGTTTATAGATAGAGTGTGATATTGAAGAAATGCTTGGAATATTTAAAAAAAAATGTTGTAGTGTAAAATTGTAAAAGCAAAATGAATTTTATGTATTATATAAAATTGTGAAAGTTTTTGCAGCGCGTTTGTGTTCTACTGTTTCTTATTTTTTTGTTTTAGGTTACACTGCGCAGCTACAAGCACGGCACACTAAGCTTATATTTGTAACTAGTTTTTGATTTGATTCGCTGTTTCTTTTTTTAATTTTAATTTTGTATTAATTATTTCACTTAAATATTTTTTCCAATTTACCTTAACTTAATCAGTAATTTTACTTATTAATTTTCTTAACTTATATTTCTAACTAGTTTTTGATTTGATTCGTTTTTTTTTTTTTTTTTTTTTTTTTTTAATTTTTTTTCAATTTACTTTAACTTAATCACTAATTTTCTTTATCTTACAAAACTATTGTTGGTGCGTGCTCCATCTCCGATGATGCCGAATTTATCCCTTTTGGTTTCCCCTACTCGCGGTTCGGCTGTTCATACGTTAATCCAAGACGTGCTCTGCGAACGGATCATACAAAGCGTGAGCCCACGTTGCACAAACTGTGGCTGCTATCCGGTTTTGACCTTTTCGTGATTAAACGCACTTAGAAACGTTTTGTTCTGTCGTGGTTTATTCGTGGCCGATTCGCGTACTTAGATGACTTTTTGCACTGTTGTATCGCGATCGGTCCCTGCTCGGGCGCCAGTTAAAATAAATAATTTTTCTTATTTTTATTTTCACATGTGATCAGGTCGATCCCAGATTTTAGACTAATTTTTCCTTAAAATTATTGTACCCTAGCTAGCTAAAGTCCGAGTTGATGGCGGCAGCGCTGCTGATGACTCTCGCGACATCGTCTGCATTCAGCGACCCGCTGCTGAACTTCGGTACTTTCGCGCTATTGCAGCGGTTCTTGATCGAAGAGAGAGTTGCGCGCCAAATTTGTTGTTAGCAATTGCAAGCTGCTGAGCTTCGGTACTTTCGCGCTATTGCAGCGGTTCTTGACCGAAGAGAGAGTTGCGCGCCAAATTTGTTGTTAGCAATTGCAAGCTGCTGAGCTTCGGTACTTTCGCGCTATTGCAGCGGTTCTTGACCGAAGAGAGAGTTGCGCGCCAAATTTGTTGTTAGCAATTGCAAGCTGCTGAGCTTCGGTACTTTCGCGCTATTGCAGCGGTTCTTGACCGAAGAGAGAGTTGCGCGCCAAATTTGTTGTTAGCAATTGCAAGCTGCTGAACTTCGGTACTCTCGCGCTATTGCAGCGATTCTTGACCTCAGAGATAGAGATGCGCGCCAACTTTGTTGGGTATTCCAGGCTGCGGAATTGTGTAACAACTTTGTTGTTAACTTATATATATCTATTGCCGGGCATCAATACTGATGTCATCTGCAACTGGCAAGCGGCCCACGACACGTTAATATTTGACAATTTAGCGCCAGCTTAGGAAATCATTTTGTCAAACGTTCACCTTTGCATATTTCATGCAAAACCATAAAAAAAGAAAACCGAGCAGCGGTGCGCATGTTTATCTTGGGGAGCAGGCCACATCGAGCAAGGGCAACAACCGCCACTTGCTGTTTTCATTTCATAAAATTGAGCACTTTGTGCGTCTTGTCATGAATTTTTGAAGAACGCAAAGCGGCGACATCTTATATCTTTCTTATATTTTCCTTCTTTTACTTTTTGTTTGGTCTGTTTTCATGCTCTGTTGCATGAAGCCAAATGAGTAGATTGTGTGCGTCTAAATATATTTTTAACTTGAATAGGTACATTCCATAAAATCAAAGTCTTTCTCTTTCATAATGTTGAGGCTGAATAACAGATAGTTTATAAAAAATCAAAATTTATATATTCATCTTTATAATTTATACTCAAGAAATTCAAATGAAAAAGTACATAAAATGTAGTTTTCCATTCTAAGACTATATTCAAACGAAATTTATTAAAGCATAAGAATAAAATATAAAAATATGTACAATAATTTGAATTTTTTATTTATTTAAAATTATTTACCATTTATTATTTCTTAATTAAAATTTAATTTCGAAAATTCTTAGAAATATGTTAACGTAATATTCAACAAAGCTTGCGATTATCAGCCAAACAGAGTATTGCGCAGTTGTTTGTTTTTTCAGTTATTGAAATTTTTCATACTTTGTATTTTGATATGCACTGTTTCATCAACAACTTGTTTTGCTTTTTGTTGTTGTTTTATTTATGGCCTCTCTAGTTATTTATGTTACAGAGCACAGCATTTAAGATAATTAATTTAGGCAATTACATCTGTCTCCAGTCTCTCCAGACGCTGCAGATTCATGTGTTAAATTTAAGCTCAGCTCGAATTTCCATTATCGCAAAAAATTTAAAAAATTTAATAATTTAAAACAACTTAAAGAATTAATACAAGTCCATTGTGCAGAAAATTTCTCAAGTTTCCACAGCACGCGCAGCACTTAATGCTACTCACATCAAATGGAGCTGACAAAGTTTTTGTTACACAAAATTGTCTCAAAATGTCAAATGCTTTTTGTTACATAAAAATGTAATTATAATTTTCGCAATTTGATTACACGCTTAAGGGTTGGCAAGCATTAAAATAACACCTTTCAGATTGTATTGCATAAACGTAGCAAATTTTTGTTCTGAAAAAGATGAAAATGTTCGCATTTCTCGTTGTTGCTTTAAATAAAAGTAGACAGTAAAGTGCGACACTGAATTAACACGATTAAAATGTGAACTTTTTAAAAGGGAATATAAAAGTGAATATGAAAATTATATTTTGCTATGAGACTGCAATGTCGAGTAATGCAATATAATGCAAGTAAATTAAAAAATGTGCTAATTACATTCAGTTGCTCAAAATAATATGATTAAGGCCCTTCACATATATAAATATATACATCTATGCAAATCGAATGATTTAATAATTTTTCCAATGTCAAAGGTTTTAAAATACGTTCAATACATTCGACTTCTCAGCACACCATACTCTAAACGTCAAGTTGAAGCCAATTAACCTTTGTCCTGTTGCCCTTCGTTTTGTTTCGAGTGTTGATCAACTCGCAACGAGTAGTTTTTTCTCTTAAGTAAACGAAAAATATTTTAAAAAGTATGGATAATAAATGTCGTCCATATTTGGCTGTATTTCCCAAGGACGAATTGCCAGTGCTAATAAAAAATGCTAAAGATTTTACAAGGTATGCTAACGAATGTTAAAAAGAAATAAAAGATTCCAACGAGCAGAATTTTCTTTACATAAGATGAGCAGATATGGCATATGAAAAACTTTATCAGTAAATTTAATAATACTCTTTCATGTTATCATTGCAGTGATCTTGAGCCACTGCTGCACATTATGCCAAAGGCATTTGCCAATCATAGGACCGACAAATTGCAGCACAAGATCTGCCAACGAAAGTGCGCAGAGAACAAAAAGTGTACCAAAAAATGCATGGAGCAAAAGGAGGGACGTAAAAAAGAAGTAGTATTGGTGGACAAGGTTGAGTCGAAGTTGGCTCCAATAATAAGATCGCTCGAGCGTGGAGAGGACCCGGACACAATTGTAATGGTCGAGTATCGAGAATTCGCTTGCTCTGGCATTGTGCTGGGCAGTTACTCGGTGTTCTTCAGAAAATTTCGGGGTCACACTATGATCGACTTGCGCCGTGGCCCGATGACGGCCGACACGTTTGAGCAGATATACAAGTGGATGGTCAAGCCGTATTATAAATTTCAGCCAAGTGATGTGGTGCGCGTTATACGCGCTGCCAGCTTTTTGGAGATCACGGAACTGCTGAATGAGTGCTACGGCATGCTCGACAGCGATCTCTTTCGGGATTTTTGGGCCATTGACATCATGAACAAATCACGGCATTTTAATGAGCTATTTCAGATCAATCAGGCAATGGCTTTTCGCATATCGACGTCAACGCTGATTCTGCTTTGCAGCCAGGAGTTTCTGAACTTCAACGAGATGCAGATCTGTGCACTGCTTAGTTCCAGCTCGTTGGCAGTCAACGCAGAAAGTGAGGTGGGTCATCCACAATAAGTAACAATTGACTTTAATAATTTCTCCTCTACTTAGCTGCTTTTCGGTGTTTTGCACTGGCTAAACGTAGACTGGCCCGCTCGAAAGCACTGCGTGTTGAGTGTGCTCAAGAATATCCGCTTTGCTTATTTGTCACCTAAGATCCTTTGTAGTTTCAATGCCGGCCCAATCGGTCCGTTCGGCCAAGTACTGGATGAATTCATGAGCCTGCCGGAAAGTAAACAGCTAATCGAGGATGGCATCTTCTACAGCGCCTTGGTCATCACACTGAGTGGTGATACCAGCAAGCTTCACGACTTGCCCGAAGCCAAAAAGGAGCTGATGTTGCCACGCCGCTGGGTCCAAGATAGCCGCTGCCTGTACCATCGACCAGTAACCAAACAATGCCCAAATATGCGCTCAATTAGCTATGAGGAATTCGCCGCTTACTCTGAGACACTCCAGGAAAGTGATATTGAATACGAGCGACATTTTATATATCCAAATGATGACGATCTCAGTGAATCTTCTTCCACAAAATCGTCTAAGTTATCCGAAGCAGAAAAGATCAGTCAATGCAAGGTGTCCAAACCTGTATGGAGCACTGAATCCTTATCGCATTGGGTCCGTTCCCAATGCGCTCCAGAATACCAAATGGAAGACATTTTGATTTCTTCAATCAGCTCAGGCGCTGACGCTATCTTTAGTCCCAAAATCCAGGCCCAAGCAGAGGAAGCATCTGCACACTGGCAAGAGGCTCTAAAAGATTTTAAGCCCTCGGAAATCTGGCAGGAATGGGAGACAACTTTAATGGATGAAAACATCTAAGTGTCAATTAAATAAAATAAAAATAAAGAATTTTTAAAATTCAATAAAATATAATTTTAATGAAGAGAAATTGTGTACAAACAGAAATTTCGTTAAGCTCCAAATACATCACAATAATTAAAAACTAGAATTTTAGCTTAAGTTGGTTATCCCATGTGAGGCGTTAAGGTACTAGGTGTTAAGTGTTGCGGCGCATGTTCTGACACCTGAGTGCGGCTACCTTAAACCTTAAACGCTGCTTGATACTTGGGTTGACTTGCCGCAACACAAACACACGCGCACACACACACAAACCCACAGTCACTGACACACACACAATACCTTCAGCACACATTCAACACTCGCCTAAACAAGTGCCCGCCACATGCTCGTATATCAAAAAAGGTAAGCGCGTTGAATTTTCCATTAGGTTGAAAAGCATTTTCGGCACACGTGGGCGGTTTTCTTTTTTCAACGTTGGCACATCATACATATTGGCAACTGTGGCGTATGCGTAATATTTTAGGTAAATAACAGGCGTCGAGTTTGGCTGGTTTCTAAGTGCCGCATGTAAACATACACAAAAAAAAACAAATGTACTTAGTCAGCATTTTGCTTATTGGCCCAAAAAAAAAAAAAGAAAAAAAGGTTGACAACTGAGGCGGCAATTGCAAGAAACTTCGGGTCCCACATGTGGTATGCGTAATGTTTGAGACTGTTTGCTATACCCAAACTCAATTAGCCAGTAAGCCCGAAAGGACAACAATTCGACAGGCCTCAATCAATACAGTCTATCATCCAAGAGCTGGCATTGCATAAACTTAACAAAGTTTCTGTACCGGAAAAAGTTCTTTGAAATGTATGCTTATTGTTGAAAATTGAATTGACTTTTAGACGTTGGCAAAAGTTCTGCTTAGTCTCGATAAGTCCAGAGCTTCAGTGAAATAAGGTCTATGCAGGCATCAGACGAGTTACAGATTAAAGCATAACTCTGGAAAGTTAACAGAGAATTTTACTGAATACCTTTTAGCTTAACAAATTTGAGGCTTTTGATTAGACAGGTCTAAGATGAATATTTACTGTAGTTTCCTTTAAACTATAATTTAAGAGTTATTAGGTTTGTGGTAAAAACACGCGTCTTTGACTTAAAAATCATTTATAAATAATTGCAGTTGGTGCCTAAAATAAATAAATATTTAGTCGTTCAATATCAATTATGGATTGTTAAAGAGGGAAACTTACCTTGTAACTTTAGATATACCTGTGGATAGCTGCTTAACCCTCGACTTCAAATCAATAAAAGCAAAACATTTTAATGAGTCAGAATAATAAAAAAAGTTCTATAAGTCACCCACTCAATAGGTGAACCTGTTTAACGTTTAGCTCGTCTCTATTGATTATTTCATTGCACTGGCTTAAAAATAAGTTTGTAACTAATTGGCCAACTTAGTAAGTCAATTGCAAAGCACTTCAGCACTTAATTGCAACGATTAACTTCCAGCAATTTACTCTCGTATTTCACTTACAAGAAGTCTGCAGAACATAGCAACTTAAGTTATGGCTTAAGCAATTTAGTTCGTTTAATTAAACAACTTAAAAAGAATATCTATAAATAAATAATTATATAAATATGTTGTATAATTAAATGGAAATATCATAAATGTAAAAAAATACGTTGATAAGTCCCTAAGACACGCACTGCTGGCTAACATAAAAACAAAGGTTAATACCAAAGGGTTAACAATGCCAAAATGAAAATTAGTTAAAATAACTGTTTTCCATTATTATATGCGTTGCCTTTTGCTTTGTTCTGCTTTCTTAAAGGCTTTACAATTTGCATACGTTGAGGATTCGTGGAATACATTGGCCTTAAATGCACATAACCTTTTTATAGGGCTCAATTTAAGGCTGATTTTATGAGCGCAACGCTCGCGCCTGTCGCCTCCCTTTTGCTCGTTATGCGCATGCATTTATGTTAGACTCAAACACATTTCGTATATTTCGCATAATTCTTACACTTCACTCATTTTCGGGGCGCTAAACGCGTCTGTGCACTAATTAAATTTGCGTACGTCTAAAAGCAGGCGGTGCTATGTGCCTTTATTTTATTAATGCAGGCATATGCGAGGTGCGATTGATCAGTTGCTGAGAATACATAAATGAATATATAATATATTAGTATATTATTAAATGAAATGGACTCAGCTGGATAAACAATAGCTCATTATATTTTGTTTTTATTGATTACATTAAAATTATGTTTATTAATTATGTTTATGTTATGATGTTTATGTTTATTATGATGTTTACACTGATGTCACACTTACAAGTTTACTAAGTTACAAATTTCAAATTCTAAAAATCTTTAAAAATGTATTGAATTTTTAACTTATATACCTTGTGGTGAGATTAAAGTAGCGAATATTTTATCAAAGTTGTTTTTTCCGTATTATTTATAGTAATTAGTTCGTTTATATCGTTTATCCAATTCAGCTCGCACTTAATCTAGCTACCACTAACAACAGGCGAAAGCAGAAAAGATTATATAAAATAAAAATACAAAAATATAAATATAAAAAAAAAATATTATAAAATAAAAAAAATATAATTAAGCTGTATATGCTAGCTTATAGCTTATTTTAAGTTAAATGCGACATAGAATCTAAGACAATAAGCTATAACAAAATGAGCTGAAAAATGATTTTAAATTAAGAATAATTCTAATTGTCTCATTTGACCATTTGCTGCTTCTTTAAATGCCAAGCAGTCTAGAGTTGGCAACAAGCTCGATTAATTTCTTAGCCATACCTCGTATGCCTTGAAGCTTGACAGTGGTGTGTGTGTGGGTGTATGTGTGTGCATGTGGCATACTTTTAGAGTGGCAGCGCATGGCCATAAATCAGCGATGCCGCCGCCAGCCGCTGTTAAATCAAAGCACAAAACCAAACTGACATGCATTATATATTTATATATCAGTGCTCCGGTTAGCAAGTCGACTGCACGCACACACTCAGACTCAAGCACACACACAAGTAAGCAAGGTGCCCCACAGATATATGCAAACATTTAGCAAACTTGTATATCGCATTTTTGCTTTATTATTGCGACTTTTTTATGAGTTTTGATGCGGCTTTAAAATGTCATAAATGTTAAAAACAAATACGTTGATAAATCCTCAAAGCACACAATGTTGGCTAAGGTAAAAACAAAGAAGGGTCACACCAATGGGTTAACATGGCCCAACGCCCAACGCCGAACGCCCAACGCCCTGAGCCCAGTGCCTCGCGCATCTGCACTGACATGGGAGGCCCAGCTCTCAGCCTGAGAGCCATATCAGCACGCATTGATGCACATCATCAATTTTTAACGAGCTACTTTTACGTGGCCCGCCCACTCAAACACAGACCCATGACGTAATCGCTGGCTGCTGATTGTACCTATTGGATATGTACATATATATACGTTCATACACACATATAGCCTACAAATGTATCTATCGACATAAATACACACGCGCTTATGTATATAAGATCACATAACATGATATCATGCATGCGCTGAGGTTTAACGGCGCGACACTCATAACACCCGAACCGCATTTGCAAAATACATCAAAGTCCAATGTGTGCATCAAGCGACAAATAAGTCCATTTCAATCGAAAGGTAACGTTGTGCATTTGTGTGGTAATGGATGTTGAGCCTGGCAATGCAAACATTGAATAGCTCAGCTGCAAGATATCAAAGAAGACGTCAGTTTAATTTAATGTACAATTATTAGCATCTAAAATTTAGGTACAAACACAAATTCGAACGCATTCACAGATGAAATGCGTTTCATTATTTAGAAAATATTTTCACTGAAAAAAGAAGACGCCACTAACATAACAATCATATCTTTCATTATTCATCTTATTACCTTGATGCACTATTCAATATAATCATTATTCCATATCTTTCAACTTCTATCAAATACTTTACATCAACTACTATGTTATGTCATATAATTTAAAAAATGAAATTGCCAAGTTTTTTAATAACAGTGGCTAGCATTGTCCTTAGCAAAGAATGTAGACCGCTCTTGAATACAATTAAAACTTTGAAAGTAATTCTTTATGAAAAGGCATACACAAACACGCCTCATTTGGATTCCAAGGTCAGGCATTTGAATAGACTCAAGATGAGCATTTACAATGTGCTTTGTAAAAAATGTTTCAGTTCAACTGAAAAGTTTTCATAATGGACAATAAGAACGGCAGCAGCAACGGTGCATGGGGAAAACTTCACTCATACAGCTGCAACTTTTTGTGGAAGTTGTATAAGCGGCTTTGTAAGCATAAATTTTAATGCAACAGCAACAGCAACCGCAAGGAGCATGTTGAAATGCTTGTTGACTGTTGCCGTGTTTCCCTGTTACCGTTGTTGCTGCTGTTTTACCACTGCGAGCTAAACCATCGTCGCATATGCAAATGACTTGTAAGTGGGCCGGGCAGTAAGAGAGAAAGAGCGCAGCAACAGCAGCAGCTGAAGCAGCAGCAGAAGCAGCAGCTGAGGTAGCTCTGAGTTTGCAGCACAGAGCAGCCGCGACATCCAGGTAAATACCCCAAGCTATTAGCTAGCTATGCCAGGCTTTTATTCACGCCCCCATACACTCACAAACACAAAGGTTAAAAGTTACCTTTTATGCTGAGAGAACTTTCTAGCTACTATGAGCGCAAAACTTTACTATTTATATTTGCCCATACTTTCCAGCTCAGACATAAGAAAGAATGAAAGTAACATCACTTTAGACAGCCAGCACAAAGTGCGTCCGTTAATTAAGTTGCAAAGCCCACGCGGCGTATGAGTGATGTTTCTATGTGGGCAAACGTTGCAGTTGCAGAATGAAAAAAAATTAAAGAGTGTAAATTAAATTGAAAAGCGAAGAAAATTGGAAAGTTTTCCAATTTGCATATTACAATAGACAGGCCAGAGAAATCATTGTATTACTACATATTTATATATTTATGTTTTGATTAATGCTTTAGCATGGGCAAATTTCATTTTAAGCGACGCACATTTGCCTGTGAGTGTCCTGTGCAGAAAATTGAAAATTTATTATAAGCGCACGCTGTCCTGTATGTCCTATATACAATGTATCAACGCATGCATAAAGCACATACAATAAATTTTCATTTGTGTAACCAAACAGCAGCAGAAGTGGCAGCACGGGCAGCCGAGCCATAAGAGGCTCATGGGGAGTCGGCAAGAAAGCAAGTTGATTGAATTGACACGACAGCCGTACTCCCAATCCAATTCAGGCAGAAAAAAGAAGGAATATTATAAAAAAAAAAAAAAAAACTACTCAGCAGTACACACACGCACACCCGTGCAGTGTCTCTTTGGCTTCTTGAAACACACCCACCTGCTCACTCTCACCTTTGATATTTACGCTTGCTGCGGCAGCAAACCTGCAAAATTGAATGAAAATATTAAAAAAATATAAAAGAATACAAAAAAAGTATATAACACATATGTGTATATATATATACATATATATATATAAATATATATATTCTTTTATATATATATATAATTGAATTTTACTGCGCATTTTTCATTTATTTGTTAATAATTTCATTTATGAGCAAGCGGCGCAAACTTAAAAATGCGTAAAAGGCGTCCAAATTTTATTACGCGCTGACATTTAAAATGGCCCGTTTCCTTCACTCCGCCTGCTAACAGGCAACAGTTTTTGCTCGACGCTTGTTTGTGCTCCTTTCACTTTTCTGTTTGGCCTTTTATGCTCGTTCGCGTAATAAAACGAGTATATTCGATTGTACTATAGCTTCTACCAAGCATATATATTTTCTATAGATTTGATTAAAGAGTTAAAAATAATGCATGAAAATAAAAAATATATTAGGCTGCAATCTATTTGTATGTTTAATCGAGGCAAATTATGTCAACAAATCCATAACTTAAAGCGCTCACAATTATCTAAATATTCACAAGGATTCTCTGCTTATTTAGGGAGTTTTCTAATCATTATTTATTAATTGCTAAAGCTCTTTTAAAACTGTGGACGAGCATTGTCAAGTCCTTTGCAACAGACTTGTAAATTTGGTAACTTTTCTTTCGTTTGCTGTTATTCTTTTGTTGCCTTTTGTTGCTCCAACAATTGGGCCCGAAGCGTTGACTTTCCTGAATGCTGCTTAAATTGAGGAGTTACTTATAATATATTTTCAAAGTTTAGCTCAGTTAAGTGTAAGAAAAAAGTCGAAACACCACAACAAACCTGTTGCAGCGCACTCAGGCAAACATCAGACAATCCCCAAGCAATTTGATGAGGCCCACTCTTTATATATATATATATATTATCTCCCAGGGGCTACCTTTATTCAGCAGCTCTTCCATTCTTTTGGCTGGCTCGATGCTCATTAATTTTATCAAGTGTCGCGGCTATATACATGACCATATCAAATGGTTTTCAGCATGCAAGGCGACAACCACGTCGCCGCAGCTCTTGGCCCCCAACGTGAAAGGTCAACGTTGAGTAGGAGCTGACTGCACTTTAAACCTCCGCATCGTTCCGGCTGTGGTCGGGGCACGTGTGGCACATGCTGCTCGACAGCGAAGTGCTCAGGAGGAGGCGACACGACGAGCGAACGTGTGGCTGGTCTTGAGTTTTTGCGGTTAGCTTTACAGCCATCTGATGCACTTAAAGTAACGGTAAACATGTGCAAGATTTGCAAATCTGACAGATTTGCAAATCAGCAGCAACATGAAGTTAAAAGGTCGCCTGTTGTCGCAGTCACTTATCGCCACAAATGCCAAATCTACTGATAGCAAACAAAAAAAATAGCAAAGATAAGACGATTCCATTTAAGCAAATGCAGTCATTAACGTTATGATGAAAGGGGAAAAAGGTAAAAATCTATTTATTTGAATTAATATATATTTTCTGTTGAATCGGAAATTATTCAGACGATTCTCGTATTGCGACCCCATAGGGTTTTTCGCTTTGATTAAAAGTGTTCACGGCGCTAAGCAGAATCAGAACCAGAGGCGGACTTGACTAAGTAGCGAAAGAATAAACATGAATCGATGTCTGTATGCATGCTTTGCCTTATACTAATAGATTGCTATAAGGAGCATATACACAAGATAATCGCCTTACAGCCCCTAATAAGAGATACCCTGTACCCTGTGTAGAGCTGCTGGTTCAATCACTCTTCCTTCGTTCATGCGGACGGATATGATATATACTAGATGGAATCAGTATATATATATATATATGTATACTCAGTCTCCTACACACATTCTCACAAAAAAATTATACTCCCTTAGTGGCTTCAGGGTATATGAGTAAAAGATTTTAAATACTTAATATCAAATTGTATGCAATCAATTCAAATTTATGCTTATTATTCAGCAGAATTAGTAAAGTTTTAGCAAGGCTTAAGTCGTGTAGGTGAACAGCAATAATAATAAATTATGATGGTTATGAATACAAAAAGCTCTCATTAGTTTTAATTAAATATGTATTAAACTATTTGCTTGAGGGCTTTACTTCTTTCAACTAACATTTAGAGCAAAAACTTAAATTTAAATGCCCAAAACTATTTAATCTGCTAGAGACTCGTGGTAAATTGTACTGCCAGTTGAACTGTTTTGTGTGTTTTCAGTTGTCAGCAGCCACAAGAATTCATTTATCAAGTGGCACTTACTTTACATTGTTCCTAAAACAATCACATAACTATGGCATTTTCATGCCACAGCAGGTTTTTACCTATGCTGTTTGGTGTACAAACACACACACATACACTGACAACATAAACTGCAAACAGGACACAAAGGCAATGGCAAAGGCTACCTTAGCGACTTTGTTGCAATGGCAGTACAAGTGACTGCTTGGGTTGGTTGACTGACTTTGACAGGGGGAATAGCAACAGGACTATAAATAAGATACGACCATGTGTTTCACTGCAACTGTGTTCATGTGTGTGTGCATAAAATTGAAAGAACTGTGTCACGCCTTTATTTGCTTATAAAACAGACCAGAAACAACGACAAGCTGTTGCTGTTATTGTTGTTATTATTGCAGCTGTTGTGCCTGTTATTATATCAAACGTTTGTTGCAATGTTCATAAAAGTGTCACACTATCTACTTGTGTATGTGTGAGTGTGTGTGTTTTGTATGTGTTTGAGTTGCTTCCTGTTGCATGCTCGACTTTTTGCCTGAACATTTCCGCTTCCTTTCATTTTATATTCTGTACACAGAATATTTTTGACAATGTTGGTTCCGTTTTGTAGCTTTGAGTTTTCCGTAACAAAACTGAAATTTCACAATATTTAAATAAAACACAAATTCTAAGAAGCTCTGAAATTATGTTATATTTGTGCATCTTATACCACTTGATTGCATTGTTATGGCACACCTGTTGCAAGCTCAAAATAAGAAGCTCAATAAATACACAAGCATAACACATGCCATAACTTCCGATTATACAGTTGCACGCTAACTGCAACTGCTGCATAAGAATTAGATGTATTGTATGATATGATTTAACATGTAAAAGAGATTTGTCCAATCGAACCAACCGGTAGAATTTATTGTCGAGCACTGATTATGACTTGCCTTATGGCATCAGCAATCTGAATGAATTTATGTGTTAATACAACTGTTTAAAAATAGCATATTACATCTTAACGTGCCTGCAATGAATATGTTTGGCTTTCGAATATATAATTCGGGGACTCCCACTAAAAATAGTATTTAATAATGGTATTATATTAAGTCTTCATACCTAAAAATAAATACCACAAAAGTATTCTACTTATCGAATTATTTATAAAAATACGATGTTGATTGCCATCTTACACAAAAAAAAACATGCACGATATCGATATTGTTATAAGCAGCCAGAATTTGTTGCCACTGAATTATTGCACAGCAAAGAAATAACGTTTTGGACATATTGCGGTTAAAGCACCCAATTTGCTAAGCATCGTTCGGTGGTGTCCCTACTGGTGTTTGCTTTCTGCTTTTATCAGTTCGAAATTGTCCAATTTATTGCATTTTGTGAACATCGAGGCTTTATGTGCCCGATTTCAGTCATTAAAATGTGATTTCTTTTCGCTTCGTTTTCGAGCGAACAAAAGTACTCCAGGTGCAGTACGTTGAACCAGCCACCCAACATCAGTTCAAAGGAAAAGGAAATTGCTTACCTTTCTCAGCATCAGTTACCGTTCTATTTTTAGTCAGGACGTTGACTGTATAACAGAGGAATTGCTGAAAGCAAGTTCAATGCACACACGTACATGTAGTTCAGAGTTTGCAAATAAACGTTTGCCAATAGGTTAATCCCCTCAAAATGTTGATTAGTGTTCAGGGACACAAAAACTTGAAGTATATTTGTAACATTCATGGAACGGCTTAAATTAAATAGATATTGCGCGGGAATTTTGCTCGATAACTGCTCTCGATAACAAAATGACGGAGATATTGGTATATATTGAGCTAAGACAATATTATATTTGGTATTTTGACGCCACTACCCATTACTATTAGGGATTTATTAGGTGATCACAGAGTTCCTTTTTTTTATTTATAAAGTAGTTTAATCACAAAGGCAAACAGAGTTTGCCGTGTTTTATTTTTTTCTTAATAAAAAAATAGTAAAAATGGAAGAAAATTGGCAAGATACGGACGAAGATTGGCGGGACTCGCCCTTTTTTGTCGTTCTCTACGAGTATGCTGTAAAGAATGCCGGCATACCTTCGGATATGGGAACACTAATCGCCTATGTACTGCTCTTTTTCGTCACTTGGTACGTAGTGGTCTGGGCGGCACGCTTCATTCTGTCGCTCATCTGGCCTGTGGTCTTCTGTGTATCGGCGGTATTCCTGTTTCGTTTTCTGCGCTCATATGACCAGGAAGATCTGCTGGACATGTTGTTCCAGGGCATAACCCTGATTGCGGATAAAATAGTTTTGATTTTGTCACAGGTACTAGGGTTTGTTTTAGGCTTTTTGCGCTGATGTATAACAATTGTAAGCATTCCAAATTCTTATAGATGCGTTAGGTTATTGTCATTTATTTATTGTAAATATTTGCTCAAAATTTAAAATATTTAAAACTGTAAATATATTTTGCCCTACTAAAGGGTTTGTTATGGTATTTTGTGTTGGAATAATATTTTGGTCGCTCTACGCTAGATATGGTCACACTAGAAGCCCGGCAAAGCCTGATAGTTTTATTAACATTAAGTAGCAAACTGTTTTGAAAAAGAGGTAATTGAAATTATTAATACTGATAATAAAGAGTAATTTATTATTAAAAAAAAAATGTTATTGCAAAAAAGCCTGCTGATATACGTTTCCAACTGAACAGCTTTTAAATTTCTTAATTTCAACGTGTTAAATAAATATAAAAACAAATAACAAAGCATTTATTTATAGATTTTTTTATGGTGCCTTGAAACCGTCGTCGATCCGCATCGCTTGGACAAATTTAGCGACACTTGTAGCAGCATATAAAATTCTTGTAAGCTCCACGACGCAAAATATATATTTAAATGTTCATTAGGTATTGATATCTGCAAAAGTTCTTGTAGAATGCCAATCATACGCTTGGAGTCTTCCGATAAGGAAATTTTTGACACAGACATTGAAATCGCCAAATGTTCGGAAACTATTAAAACTGCACTCGAAGATTTGGGCGATGAAAGCGATAATAGTGTGTTACCTCTGCCGAATGTGAACTCGGCTATTCTACGCAAGGTGCTCCATTGGGCTACCTATCACGCCCAGGACGATCCACAGCAGCCGCAGGAGGATGAAAATAAAGAGAAACGCACCGACGACATTTCATCTTGGGATGCTGATTTCCTAAAAGTCGACCAGGGTACCTTATTCGAGCTTATTTTGGCGGCCAATTATTTAAACATCCAAGGACTACTGGATGTTACCTGCAAAACCTGCGCCAATATGATCAAAGGTAAATCGCTTCAGGACATACGCGAGACATTTGCCATAGCCAACGACTTTTCCCCATCAGAGGAGGAGCAGGTGCGCAAAGAGAATGAATGGTGCGAAGAGAAGTAAAAGTAGAAAGTGGTCAATATACGATTAAGTTGATTGTATGACTGTGCCCAAAATCAAAAAATAAATGTTTTTTGTTTATTGAATAAAAAAGTCAACGATTGTCTTAAAGAATGGGTGCCTTTTTGCTATGAATCAAAAATTACTTCCATATAGATTTACATGTGGGAATATTTTCGAAATAAAAAATATCCAACTGCAGCCACTAGATGGCGCTAATGCCTTTACACATTCCGCTCTACCAGTGTTCCTTACCGCGTGATTGCTGGTATTATTTGCTTTCAAACTATGTTATTTTTGTACTCCCATAACACGGTCACACTGCGTTTGAATTCGCCAAAAAAAAGCAACTAACTAAATTTTTGATCAGGATTGGCGCATAGCAAATAAATTTGCAGTAAACTTCTCGAAATTTTTTGTGAAATTGCATATTAACGTCATCCATAAACGCAACTATCTAGTTGCGTGACACAAACACACAAATACACAAACATATTTTGTTGGTGAAAAAACAGGCGGCGGCAGCGGCGGCGGCGACGCAACACACGCGACTTGCAAGCAGGCAAAACACGGCGAGGAGGACGACGACTAGACCAAGTGGCTTGGCTCTGTCTGAGTGTGCGTGTGTATATGTATGTTTGTGTGTGTGCAATCCGAGGATAAATTGAAACACAATAACAACAAGAATGGACGTATACGACGTAAGCGACGATCTGATCAAGAAGCTAAACGACTGGAAGCTGATTGGCATTATATCCGGCAAATTCAATGAGCTCAAAGAGAACTACTCGAAGGTGAACTTCGTGGAGCATGCATTGATTGACTTCAAGTACATCGAAAAGATATTCCTAAATGTAACACTGCGCGAGAGCAAATGCAACAAGCGCAGCGTCGAATTTCGTATGCTGGGCAACGAGCAGTTCTCTCTAAAGAACAGAAAATACTTTCAGGCAAGTAGTATTGTGAATTGTTGTACGGTTATATCGCATAATAATACATTTGCTCTTTGTTGACAAAGAATAGCCTAATAATCTAAAGATCCTCTCTCCACAGGCACTTGAATTGTATAACAAAAGCATTTGTTATGCGGAACCAAACTCGGAGAATTTGTCGATTGGATATGCTAACAGGTCGGCGGTATTTTTTGAGTGGAAACGCTATCGAGAATGCTTGGCCAACATTGAGCTGGCGCGCAAGGCCAACTATCCGGAACGACTGCGTCATAAACTGGACAAGCGTGAACGCGATTGTCAGCAATTGGTGCAGCAACAGCCGCCGGATATTGTGCCGTACGATTTCAAAATGAGCTTCGATGCACACCCGCAAGTGCCATTCATAGCTAACTGCTTGGAGATGCGCGAAACTCCGGATGAGGGCAGATTTATAGTGACAACGCAGGATCTGGTTGTCGGCGATATAGTTGCCACTGAGGAGCCCTTCTGCTCATCTCTACTGGCGCCCATGCGATACATCAGATGCACTAACTGCAAAGAGGAGCGCTATCTAACGCTTATACCCTGCGATAATTGCTGTTCTGTCATGTTTTGCTCGGAGGAGTGCAAGAAGCGCGCCAATAGCACTTTTCATAAATACGAGTGCCCCATCATTGACCTATTGCATCGCATGTTCAACAAAATCCATGGCATTGCGTTGCGTACCACGCTGAGCGCTTTAGATCTGTACGGCAGCATTGAAGAGCTGATGGCGTTCTGCGAGCAGCCGCAGAATCAGCATAAATCCGTATTCGATCTGGACTATACGCAACTGACACCGCAGGAACATTATCGGGCCATACACGGTCTGGTAACGAATCAACACTTGCGTTCCGTCTCGGATCTCTTTCAGCGGTCGGTTGTATGCGCCGTCCTCAAGCACTTCATCATGGAATACACGCCGCTCAAGGATTATCTCGGCGGAGAAGAGGGTCGCAATTTCTTTACGGACCTACTGTTTAGACATTTACAAACATCACCATCGAATATGCATGGCATTGATCTCGTCGAACAGGCGAACGAGACCAAGGACGATCAGTCGCATTCATCCGGCGCCTATGCGTTTCTCTCCCTGCTCAATCACTCGTGTGCACCCAATACCCTGCGCATCTATGAAGGCGTCAAGGCCTATTTGTTTGTGTTGCGACCCATCAAGGCCGGCGATGTGCTCTACGACAACTATGGGTAGGACAGGTTAATCAATTAGAAATCATAGAACGTTTTTTTAATCAAAATCAATGCTTTTATTGCAGAGCGCATTTCGCAGTCTTTGGCAAGAAACAACGTCAAGAGACGCTGTCCATGCAGTATCGATTCAACTGCAAGTGCGAGGCATGCGAAATGGACTATTTGAAGTATAGAAATTTGCCGTTCAAGGCGTCGGTGCCACTGGTGTCAAACGATACAGACTTAAAGTTGTTGGGTGCCTACAACTACGATTTTGCATTGACCAACTATCAGAAGTACTGTGATTTTCTGACGCAAAACGCTGATGCTTTCCCTTGCGCCCAGATCAGCTCCGCTGAGGAGTGCCTCAAAATGGCGTTGCATATCATGGTGGACGCGGTGCCCTTAAAGGCGAAAATGTAATGTGTCTGGGACACAATGCACCGACTGCCTCGCAACCCGCCATCCCACCATCTTCACAAGACGAGCTAATACATATATATTTATATATATCGATATATATATATTTATATATTCTGGACGAACAAGCAGTAATTATCCCTAACTATAATTTGTTGCCATAAGTTTCCAACATTTTTGGCAGCTACAGCAGTTGTTGATTTAAATTGGCAGGCAAAACACACAACACGATTCTTTAATATTTATATATCTACTTGTGAATTTCTATTTTCAATCATTTAATTGAAATATTTTGTTTAATTGTTTTTGCAACACTTACAAGTAAATCGCACAGAAAATGATTGACAAAATATTTTGGACAGCAGCTCTGATCCATAGACAAAGAGAAAAAAGGAAAGGAAAAAAGAAACTATAAAACCAGGTCGCAAGCTCAAAATTTTTGTAATGTTGTTTGATCACCAATGTCTTCGAAACTGCAAAAAGAAAAACACTTTTTTGTAATTAATTTACAAAGAAATACAATATTTTTTAATTATGCATTATATGCGCTTGCTCTCATTGCACGGTAGATGGCGCTCTCTCAAATCGCCACGTTTCCACTTCCACAGGTACTTCAATGCATTTTGCTATACAAATCGATCAATTGCTGATTGAGCATTCCGCCGGTACGATTCGCTGTGGTCACGTCATCTGCTTTGGTGTTGGTTGCCAACAGCTGCACAAACTCACAGCCAGAGGCGTTGGGGTTGCGCTGCGCCTGCGATGTTGTTGCCCCCGCCGCGCTATTTTCCATGTCCGTAAACAAAATACTAGAGAATGTTTGTTCGAACTGCTTCTGGACTTGACGTGCATCCATGGGCTGCAAATCTTCGCCAGTTACTGGTTGTATCGGATTAACATTCAGTTGGGCTGCCAGCTGATCCATCCGATTCGGCTCGCGTTGCTGCTGCTGCTCCATCAACTCGTTGTTCTTAATGTAAATATTGTCGCCAATGCATTGGGCATAATCCTCGTAGTGGCTCTGATCTAGTGGATTCAAGAAACTGCCGTCCATCGCCTGAAAACCCAACCGTATGAGCAAAGATATCTTAGTATTGAAGCACTCCAGCCACGCCTTGTTGGTGCGGTAAATGGACAGCTGCTGCTCCTCGCCGCAGAGATTCCAAAAATCCAGTAACGTATTCTTGCTGAAATCGATGAGCATATGTCGCTTCGCATCGGGATACAGTCTGCTAATGGCATCCAAGTGCCGGAACGTTATATCCAGCAAGTGGTGCTGGTGACGGGAGACGAACAGTTGCCATTTATACATCATGGTCATCAGATTCCACAGCTTCTCCATGGACGTCTCGTCCAGACGCATTAGCGAACAGGTGGCTATGTCGTTCAACATGAACTTGCAGTGATCGGCGGTCAGGAGCTGCGCATTGCTGTGCATTGACCCATTGATGAGTGACTCAATGAACTTGGGTTCCAAGAGCACTGTCGTCACATCGTGTATGACTGGAAGAAAAAACTTAATTAGCAGCAGCTCAATTAAAGACGGACAGCTTAAATAACCTTGAATCGACTTGTCGGCCGCAATTTGTTGAGCCTTCAGGCGCTGGTCAATTACGAAGAGCGCCTCACAGCCCAGATTGACCAGAATGAAAACATTGGCGCGCGGATTGAGTGGTTGGCGTGTGGACATTTTAAAGGAGCGGAGTGTATGGAACTGCGGCTGTCGACTGCTAAATATTAACTAAGCCCGGACAGGTGCTGCCGCTGTGGCGCTGCTTGCATGCCACAGCGGCACGCGACCAACCACGAATAATTCTCACATACATTTATTTTTATTGGATTTTTCGTTTCCGTATTGTTGGACAAGGGGGTCCTGTGACGACGACGATGACGACGACGAAGACGCCGACGATGTTTGATTGCTTTATGAGAACCCCGGGCAACGTCTTTTATCGCCGCAATAAGTGTAAATAAAAAAGGCAGCACCGCTCCATAGCCGACTGCTCAAATACCCACTAGTTAGTTGGACGCTTAAGCTACAGCTATGAAAATCAAGATTTATAATGAATTTATATTATATTATATAGTTAGAGCTTGTCAGGGCCATGATTTTACCTATTAGCTGCTTGATTGACTATCATTTCGTAGAGGTAACCAATCAAATGGCAAAGTTAATATACTCAGTCTCTGTACAGCAAGAATGGCATGTATAGTAATTATGGCAGTGGACGAAGTAGGCGGCCGGAGTAGGGTTCTAGGACTGAAGTTTGCCTGGCTGTCTGTCTGTTCGTCCCATAGTTATTGATTTGTGTTTATTTTGCAAAGTTGTTGCCTGGTTTATAAAAACAATTACTGTAAACAAATGTTGCTAATCTAAAAATATATTTTTTACATATTAGACATGTGAACTACACCCATTGATTGTCACGCCCCTAAATTGTATTTTTATGCTAATTTAATGTTTAATATGTGGCGGCGGTTGCAAGGGAAACACCTGCACTGCATAGGCGTACCGCGGAAAAGGAAACAGGAAGTTGCGTGGTTGCCCGCACAATGCAATTAACGTACGATAATTTTTCAACTTTTGAACTGCAAAGCTTCGTGGCGCGTAGCAGATAGTGGTGGCAACGCTCTGCGGTCACACTGATTTTTCGACCGTATTTTTATTGATAGTATTTTAATAGATTTGTTAAAGCTTCAATTCATAAAAAATTAATAAAAGTTACAAATAACTGTAAATTTGTAGTGTTTTTATGACTTATACATTTGTAGTTTTTGTTTAATATACTCATTTTAATTGAGTTGAAACCCGCAGTGTCGATAAATCAACATTTTATCAACAATATATTAATGCTGTCTAGTGGAAACGCCGCAACGAAACTGACAAACAAAACAAAAACATTTTTAGTTGTTTATTGAGCTTAGAAAAACTACAGAAAATACTTTAAAAAGAAGCCATGTTGCGTAGAACTCTGCCCTCCTACACAAGACCTTCTCTGCTATGCCGACATATGTCTGTAGTGGCCAAATCACTAAAGTATACACAGCACGGCGAGCCGCAGGATGTGCTACAGCTGGTTGAGGATAAGCTGGCCGATCCCAAGAACAAGCAAGTACTGGTAAAAATTCTGGCCGCACCAATTAATCCCGCTGACATCAATACTATACAGGGTGAGTCTGCATGCAAAATTGCATTGATTCAAACATATATGTATCTCTTATGTAAACGTATTTATGAATTGCAGGCAAATATCCCGTGAAGCCAAAGTTTCCAGCTATTGCCGGCAATGAGTTTGTGGGCGAGGTTGTTTGTGTGGGCGATCAGGTGAAGAGCTTGCAGCCAGGCACGCATGTGGTGCCGCTAGCTTCTGGCCTGGGAACCTGGACCACGCACGGTGTCTTCAATGAGGAGCATTTACTTGGCATTTCAAATAAAGTGGGCCTGGCGGAGGCGGCGACCATAACTGTGAATCCCTGCACCGCCTATCGCATGCTCAAGGACTTTGTGAAACTATCGCCTGGTGATACGATCATACAGAATGGCGCCAACAGCGGCGTGGGCCAAGCCGTGCATCAGCTCTGCCGCGCATGGGGCATCAAGAGCGTGGGCATTGTGCGCAATCGCCCAGAGATTGCAGAACTAAAGAAGATGTTGCAGAGCCTGGGAGCCACCGCTGTGTTGACTGAGGAGGAGATGCGCACCAGCGACATATTCAAGTCAGGCAAACTAAAGCGTCCCCAGCTTGCCCTCAACTGTGTGGGCGGCAAGAGTGCAACCGAGGTGTCGCGTCATCTGAACGATCGCGGTGTTATGGTCACCTATGGCGGCATGTCTCGGGAGCCGGTGACCGTTGCCACGGGACCTCTTATCTTTAAGGACATTGCATTCCGTGGCTTCTGGATGACGCGCTGGGCCAAGGAGAACTTCAACGCAGCGGAGCGTAAGCAAATGTTTCAGGAACTCTGCCAGCTGATAGAACAGGGCAAGTTCGTAGCGCCCACGCATGAGATGGTTCCGTTGTCCAAGTTTAAGGATGCAGCGGCTGCAGCGCTGAACTTTAAGGGTTTCACTGGCAAGAAATTCATATTGGACATGAGCTGTTAAATGTTAAATTTTTAGTTGCCGATGACCAACTATGATTGCTTTTATAATGGAATGATACTTTCTATTAAGCTTACAAAATGAAATTTTGTACGTTTTGAATAAATAATCGAAACTATATATTAGAATATTAAGTGATATTTGTTTAGTGTTCAGCTTAACTTAAATATTTATCCCCCTGACTACCTGTAAGGCCGAAAAACAGGTTCTCCTAAGTTCACAAAACGCGATATGGTATTTAAAAAATACGGATTTTAAAATAAATTATCGAGAGTATCGATTAAACGGTTATTGTTGTGTGCAGTTCGATTTAAATATTGCTTTGCATTTAATATATAGTTTATAACATTTCAATCTCGTTGGCTTGATATTTTAGTTGCAGCGTCATGGCCGTTGGCGATGTGGCATCAGTAATTGTCAACTGCTGACCATCCTGAAGGCCTAGCTCGCCCAGCGACTGCGTTAAATTCTTACGCGTAGCCTCCTCGATGCTCTTCACGTTGGCCATGTACAAAGTGCGTTGCTTGCCATCCGCCATGATAGTGGTTAAAGCTGGGCTTTTCAGCTGAAAACGCGGCAGTTCACACAGTTGCTTGATGACGTCCTCCAACGTTGTCGTATTGGGATCTTCGATAGTCAGCAATTGCGGGGTATTACTGCAGGCCATGCAGCTATCCGACTTTTCTGCCTCATAGGTGTACGAGTAAATGCCATCCAAATCGTTGAAGTTAAAGTAGTTGGCCATGCTATCGTAGCAGCTAGTGGCGAGCTTAAACACCTCCAGGGCACAGGCGGCAGCTATAACAGCATTGGTGCTGGCCACAGCCGGAATAATGTGTTTGATGACGCCCTGCACCAGGCGATAGGTGACGCCGGTTATATTGAACTGACTGGCGCGCTCCTGAGCACGTTCGTATATCCAACCAATATGCTGTGGATCATCGCCGTCCAGCGGCGCATTGAATGGACTGTCCTTGTCCCACTGTATGATCTTTACATACTCAATGCAATGCTCTGGCAGACGCGGCGTATTGGCGATCGTGCAAAGTGGATAGTTGACCTGCGGCGGGAACAGATCCAAAGTACATTCTATGCAGGCAGTAAAGCCTGGCAATATGACACGAGCATTGCCTTTGAATCCCTCAGTGCCGCCATCTATCATTGGTATGATCGAGGAGACGTCAAGGCTGTTGTCGTCTTCATACCGCAGCATGGAGAGCAGCATACCATTGATCCAACGACGTGCCACAATCGAGTCTAGGCCGCAAACAATGATGTGAAACTTCTGATAGAATGACTCATCGAAGTCCTGAATCTTGGCAAAGTGAGGCGTCACCTTGCAGGTGGGTACGCGCTTGTTGATAAAGCGCGCAGCGCATTCTGCTTTAGATGAACCGAGATCTGTGCGACGGAAAAGAAACTGGCGGTTCAGGTTAGACAACTCAATGGTGTCCATGTCAATTACATGCAAATCGCCAAAACCCATCAGTGCCAAATCTTTAAGCAACTCGCAGCCCAAGCCGCCGGCTCCAATGACTAGCACTTTGCATTTTGTTTGGAGAAATTCCAAATTATCCGGTGATGGAGTAAAATCATCCTTGCAAAATAAACCCTCACGTTCCAAGACATTCCGCAGGCCGTTCCAGCGTTTATTTTGCAGCGCGAGTGCAGGATTGGATGGCGATGCGACCGACATTCTCCCAGATTACAAAGTAGAAGCGGCTAAATGATAATTGTATTTAGTACAAACGCAAAAACGCACTAAAAAATGATCATAAAATACCATATCATAGTGACGGTATTACCAAGCATATGAATTACAATACTTTAAACATTATATTAACTACATTATGTATGTCACATTATTCTAAAGAACTTAATATTAAATTAGTGAAATGAAACTATTAATTTTTTAATGATATGCGAAATATACCTAATGAATTAATCGAACGTTAAATTATCGACATGTGAACAATCGAGAGTTAACGATAGTAAAAGTATCGCTTATTGCACATATCTAGATCCAAATTTAAAACAACGGCACTTCATCGAAAATAGTCGCGTTCTTTGTAGCGTGCTTCCTCTTTGCTGTACTTATTGTTGTGAATAAGACCTCATTAAAGCGAATTGGGGAAATTATAGTAAAAGTGGACTATTGAAATTATTAAAAATACTGCAGCACTATAATATTTACTTTCAAATTGCTGCAGTCGAATTGGCGCGCACTCAACAAAAATGACGCTCTCCGTGCTGGCGTCGTTTGACGATCTGCGACGCTGCATGCAGGTGCTGAACGAAGGCACAGCCGAGGAGGGTATGTTCACGTCACATCAAGTAAAAAATTGTAACTATAATCGACAACCTTTCTCTTCGTACAGAATTCCTCAGCTTTTTGCGCATGTTTGAACAGTACCACGAGAAGTGCAACGGCTTCGCCACTCAAAATGCGCGCCTGCAAACAGAACTGGACAAATCGCTGGCCAAAATGGGCGACCTGGAGGGCAAACTTTATCACGCGCGTCGTATTATTGACACGGAAATCAAAGCACGCCGCCAGGCAGAGCACGAGCGCGATGCCATGGAAAGTAAGATAATGGCCGTAGCCGATTTGCTACGCCACGAACGCAATCTGAACAATGAGACGCGCGATAAGCTAGCTTTTCTAAATACTCTGCATCCGGAGTCAACGCGCAAGCGTAAATCCTTGAATACATTGCATGAGGACAAGTCATATGGCGACATTAATTCGACGGGGTCTCTGCTCTCGGATTTATCCATTACACATTCCGAGGATGATTTTCTCGATGTACGTCGCTCCAAGTCATGGCGTGAACACCGTCCATCTCTGCCCAAAAATCCGGTTCCATGTGTGGGCAACAAACGTTCGCGTCTGAGCACTGGCCACAATAACAGCAATTTGGGCACACCAACAGTTGGTACCGCCACCACTACCAGCACCACAACGCGTCGGTCGGGACATGTGGATCACCACACACTTGACGTCGGACAGGGCGCAGAGCGCTTTTGTGCCACCACCAAGGTTACCATTCCACAGGATGGGCAGGGTGTCATACGTGCCGAATCAACCATTGAGTCGCTGCCTTTGATTATGAGTCAGGAGCGCGTTGCCGATGTCCAGTCTACCTCAACGCCACGTCGTCGTTCGGCCGTCAAGGAGCCCACGGCACCACCGCTAACGCCACTCAATGCCATGGCTGTAGGCATGTCGCCGGCACAACAGAATCGCCTCATGATGCGAAAGCACAGCTTCAGCCAGAAGACCTTTTTGCGTGGCGACAACTGCGTCCAGTGCCAAAAGCGGTACAGTCAACCACTTCAACTTAACTAGTCTTTAACGAAATAATTATTTATTTATGAACAATTATTTTTCAGCATTCGCTTTGGTTCGCTTGGATTGCGGTGTCGTGACTGTCCGGTGCGCTGTCACATTGACTGTCGCCATCTGCTCACAGTCAGCTGTGTGCCGCAGTCGGGCACGCCCACAACAAAGACGGAGCTGCATTACCTCAGCGATTTTGCACCGGCGACTGCGCCAATGATACCGGCCCTGATCGTGCACTGTGTTAATGAGATTGAGGCGCGTGGACTTGGTGAGGTTGGCCTCTATCGCATGTCGTCCTCGGAGCGCGAATACAAGGCGCTGAAGGAACAATTCCTACGCGGCAAGGTTACCCCACATTTGGGCAACACAGACATTTATGTGCTTTGCTGTTGTGTGAAGGACTTTTTGCGCACATTGCGCGAGCCGCTCATACCCACTAGCCAGTGGAAGGACTTTGCCAATGCTGTACAGAATCCAGATAACAAGTTGGCCGAACAGTTGCTCTATAAGGCGGTGGAACAACTACCTCACGCTAACCGCGACACAATGGCATTCCTTATGCTGCATTTCCAGCGTATAGCCGAATGTCCAGTCGTGATGATGCCCATTGATAATATGTCCAAGATATTCGGTCCCACAATTATGGGCTATTCATCGCCTAATCCAGATCAGCATGCTCTCTACACAGAGGTCTTTACGCAAACCCAAGTAATGAAAGCGTTACTAGAGCTACCCGGCACCTTTTGGCAGCAATATCTTCCCTTAGAGCCATCGCCACCAATGGTTCCACCGGGCAGCGCGGTCAAGCGTGTGCCCAGCAGCACCCGAGATCTTTTCTCGCTATACGGTATTTATTGAGTGAGATTTTGATATTTATTATTTTGATCGAATCATAATTTGTTGTTTTTGGTTAGCTACCCCACTGAAGGGCACAATGAAGAAGCGGAAATGTAATGCCACTCCTCCAATGTCTGCGCATAAGAAGTAAAGGACCAGCATCCTCCGTCCGCTCGGTATTACGTCTTATGCATCGCTGGCGTGCCTACTTAAATCAACAAGTATTTAAATTTTTTTCATTTGCTCGCGCTAAATACGAGCGCTTATAGTTTGACAAAACTGCTCTCTGAAAGTAATTATATTTCTTTAATTAATTATTTAATAATAATTTGAACTATGAAATCACTTAACAATATATTGAATATTACATTGTTTAATACAAATAAACATTGCACAAATCTGTAATCTGTTTGATCGAAGTTTTACAAAATTACATTCTTATTGGAGTTTATTCTGATTGTATACGTAATCAGAAAATTGGCAAAGAAAGGCGAAGTTCGAGGAAGTCAAAAGCGCGGGACAGGGAAATCCACGCTATCACATTAAAGGTTAATTTCATATTACTATTCTTTAATACTGAGTAAGCATTGTTCAATTATATATGTAAATAGTACAGTATTATTTTTTCACAAATAAATCAATTAAGAGTTAAAATGCATTTTCTCCAGAAACTCATAAATTTCAACCATATAGTGCAGCTGCTATTTAAATATTTGAAAAATAACAGCTCGAGTTGCAAGCAAAGAAAAATCGAATAAGATTTAACATGACAGATATCGCTTCGTACATTATATCGATAGTCGAACAAATTATAATATTTTAATTGAAAAATAAAAAAGTGTGAAGCGAATAAAATAAAATTCAATTTAAGTTTTCGTTCTTTATGCTTATGAGTAAGTATTATTTTTATAATTTAACTATTATTTGTAAGTATAAAGTAACTTTATGATAATAGGTACGTTATCAATAATTATATCAATAGAAGCATATTGGTTCAAAATGAGCATTACTTGTTATATTTTTTCTTTCTTCAAATATAATTAAAATAAAGTTTTTGTGTTACGCCTTAACTTATATTTACATTTTGTCAACAGCAGTAAGTTGGTTAGAAGTGGTCATTTTAAACTGGACAATGTTAGTTTGAGATGGACAAGAATACATATTGCGTAGTTATGTACAGACTGGAACGAATTTCGATTATTTCTGCGTGAATTTTGTCTCATCACCACTTTCCAACCGGCTCCAAGCATCACGCGATCACTACACACTACACACTCCTGCTCCAGCGTTCGCATCGTAAGTAACATACAGCAATATTAATATTCCCTGATCATAGGAAAATAAAACTTGTTATATGCAAAGCAGGTGTTAAAATGGCCAACATTGCAAAACTGTTTACTGTGCGTGCACAAACCTTGGTCCAGGCTGCCGCTCGTCAGCCACAAGTGGCGGCTCGTTTCAGCAGCACCTGTGAGTATATCCCACCCACAATCTCAGATGAAGTACAAAGTCCACGTTTCCAGAACCTGTTAATTAAAATTAATAGAATTAGAACTGTGACATAGCTATTTATTTTATTGCCCACTAGTTTCCACAAGCTGTGAGCAAGCAAAAAAAAAAACATTGATTACGTAACGTTTCTGATATCAATTCCTCTGCCATCTCTTTCACTCTACAGCTACTGGCAACTGGGAATTTATTAAGACCGAAGTGGCTGGAGAGAAGAAAAATGTTGCTGTTATCACATTGAACCGCCCCAAGGCATTGAATGCTCTGTGTAATGGCCTCATGAAGGAGCTGTCCACAGCTCTGAAAGGATATGGCAAGGACAGCAAAATCGCAGCCATTGTTCTAACTGGCAGCGAGAAGGCTTTTGCCGCTGGCGCTGACATCAAGGAGATGGCACCCAACACATATTCGCAGTGCATTCAGGGCAACTTCCTCAACGACTGGACTGAGGTGGCACGAACCCAGAAGCCAATCATTGCTGCTGTCAATGGTTACGCCCTTGGCGGTGGCTGCGAACTGGCCATGATGTGCGACATCATCTACGCGGGCGAGAAGGCCAAGTTTGGTCAGCCAGAAATTGCGTTGGGCACCATTCCCGGTGCTGGTGGCACTCAGCGCCTGACCCGCGTGGTTGGCAAGTCTAAGGCTATGGAAATGTGCTTGACCGGCAACATGATAAACGCCCAAGAGGCCGAGAAAGTTGGCCTGGTCAGCAAGGTCGTGCCAGCCGATCAGCTGCTCGGCGAGGCAATCAAATTGGGCGAGAAAATCGGCACACACTCGAATTTGATTGTGCAACTTTGCAAGGAATCGGTCAACACTGCCTACGAAACCACCCTGCAAGAGGGTCTCAAGTTCGAGCGTCGCACCTTCCACGCCACATTCTCTACGGTAAGCTGACTGATTGCGTAACACTCACAGTTTTTTTATAAACACATTTTTCTTCGATTGATAGGCCGATCGCAAGGAGGGCATGCAAGCCTTTGTAGAGAAGCGCCCAGCCAATTTCATCAGCGAATAGATTGGGAACTTACATTACTCAATTAAAAACCAGCAATGCATTTATGAAGTCTATCCTGTTGTTTACACGCAAATAAAATACACGTTAAATAATTATTAATATGTCGCATAGATTTTATGTTCTGGCCGCTTACAAATCTGTGCTAAAATTTCGCGAAACATTTAAAAACACATTACATACGACATTAACATCAGGAATACACCGCTCAGTACAAGTGATAGTCAATCCTGAGAGATACAGAGGTACAGATTGATTGATTGTCAGTTGATCTATGACCACACCACATGTGAGATGTGGCCGTAGATCTACTGACAGTCAATCAGTGCTGCCTCTAGTCTTCATATATATATTCACGGATAGATTATATCACTATTATGATTGCTCGAGCATTTTCTCACGAACTGAGTTGGCCTCTCGCATTCCAATGCGCTGCGTTGGATAAGGAACCTATAGTAGTCCTTTAATTGTAACTTTTGCCACGCAGACTTCATCTCTCTGATGAGTGGTGGGTCCTCTGCCTTTTGGCCCAAGTTAAAGGTCTGGCAGGTGGCACATGGGCATTTCGCTGGGCTTACAATGGGCTCTGCCTTTGGCTTCCTGCAATAGCGTCGTATGACAATTGGCTTCATATTTTCGGCAATATATATTTTTTCCAATTTTGTGGACATGGTGTGTCTCTTATATTTGGCTCTTTTTTCGACTCGGGGTTGTTTCGTTTGCCACGTTTGTGTTTGGGCCTCAAGTACAAAGTTGCGGGCGATTTTATTCTTTTTCGGCATTGCGTCGCGAGTTTCCACGATTTTCATCAATTCGGTTATGTCAGATGCTAACTTCGAACGTTTAGCTTCGTCTTCTTGAGTGTTCCTTTTTTCCAAGAAAGGACTATAACTTCCAGATAAGTGCGAGTGATGAATAAAACTTCTTGGTGTTTCACGGACAGAGAACGAAGATGCATTGGTGGAATTGTTGACGGACTGTAAGTTGTAATTATTTGTTGTGTTAGTTTGGCTTTTGCTTGTATCCAGTTTAGTATCGGGGAGGATTCGTACTTTGTAAGCTCGATGAAAGCCGGAATTCCATTGCTTATGACGGAACTCGAAAGATACTTTGGAAGGTGCATCAACTTTATTCATAACCGGTGGATGGAGTGCAATAACGAGTTTTGGCTCAATCACAGAACTAGGCTTATGCTCTTCGGAAATTTGCTCCGAACTGCCGGCATACGATAATCCCCCATTGATGTTTTCAGGGGTATTGAAGTCGTAAATAAGCCTTCTCTTTGAGGTTACTGATGACATCGCTGACCGGCTGGGACTACGTCTATTGCTCTTAATCGAACTACTTCGCATCTGCAACTTACTTTTTTCAATTGACTTCTGTTTCTTCTTACCAGCAGCCAAGTCATCTAAACTGTTATTTTTAATTTGAATCTTGATATGTTTTACTGAATTCTCCGTCACCTTCGAAACCGAATCATCTACGTTATTTTTTTTAATTTTGTCATTTTCCTTGATAGGTTCTATTGAATACCCCGTCACATTAGAAACCGAATCATCTACGTTATTTTTTTGAATGTTATCATCTTCCTTGATATCTTTTATTGAATGCCCCGTCACATTAAAAACCGAATCATCTACGTGATTTTTTTTAATTTTATTCTTTTTTTTTATATGTTTTATTGAATATTCCGTCACATTAGAATCCGAATCATCTACGTAATTCTTATTAATTTTATACTTTTTCTTGATACTGGAACCATCTGCGTAATTCTTATTAATTTTATACTTTTTCTTGACATCGAAATAATCTACGTGATTTTTTTTAATTTTATTATTTTTTTTAATATGTTTTATTGAATACCCCGTCACATTAGAATCCGAATCATCTACGTAATTCTTATTAATTTTATACTTTTTCTTGATAGGTTTTATAGAATGCTCCGTCACCTTAGAAACCGAATCATCTAAGTTATCTTCCTGAATGGGATCCTTACGGATGTCCTCTGCCTCTTCAGCAGCCGACTTATCTGAATTATTATTTTTCTTGTTCTGCATTTGTCTACGAATCTTATTTGAATCTTTTCTTGACATTTTATTGGTCTTCCATATTGGCACCGTATCGCTGAACTTAATTTGCCTATTATTTGCTTTGCGTTTGAGTCGGCTCATTACACCATGAAACTTTTTATTTGAAGATTTGGTGTTCTTCGAATTGAACAGCCGAAGGAGTTGCTGTTCTTGAAGATATTTCAACTTCTTTCGTTGGCTGATATAACGTTTATATTCTTCTTGTTTTATGTTAGTATCAATGATTTGCTTGATTTGAAGACTACTTGAATCAGATTGATGATGCTTAAGTTTATCATCTTTTATTTCTTGTGTTCTTGAATTTGCAACAACCGAATTCTTTAAGCTTAACCTGAATTCTTTTGCACTACCCTCATATACATTACATTCAGGTTCATCTTCTGAGAATAGTTTTAGTTTGCAGTAAGGGTCAATCTTTAGCTCATTACATTCCAAACTTTTATAATCTTTTTTAAGCTTAACGAACTTTTCTTCTTTCTTCTTTTGCCTTGAGAAAGGCAGCACAATTCGGTATATGCGTTGTATTTCTTTCTTCCTTTCCATATATTTTTCATATTCTGTTTGTGGTATTGTTTGACCAAAGAGCCCAAATTTCGCTTCCACATATTTGTACATCTGCTTGACGTTCTTTTGTTCTGGTTTTACCATCCAGCTGGGTAGAACAGGCCTTGAAGTGTTCCTCAAATTGCGACTATACTTTTCATAGTAAGGAGTCGTATTCGGAACTAATGGAACAGATTCCAAGCAGTTGAATAGAACGTCACCTAACCAATTCCGTTGATGATGAGCGGAAGTGCAAAATGAATTGCAAGTTTCCTTTGTTCCTTTTTTGGTTGGGCACCGACACGACACCGGGCGTTGCATTGAGGCAATCTATTTAATACACTTAAAATTTGATTAATACAGAAATTCGAGGAGTATAAATTCATGAGCAACTCAATTGGCGGAAAATTTATAAATAATTTTAAGGCCGCCAAATCACACTTGAATGTGCCTGTGTTGTAAAACGTTAAAGTTAGTTTGTATGCTACATAGTTGGATAACGATAGTTTTATAGCTATCGATAAGTGCGACACACATTAAGCATCCAGACTTACTCACGCACGCACATATACAGGAACGTAATCACACTGAGAGCGAACACAGGACGTTGCAGTCAATTTACTGTTAGTCCTGCGCGTTGGGCGTTCTGTGAGAAAAGTAAAAGTGAAAATCAAGCCCTTGAATTTTTGTGGAATATTTATTAATTATGCATGATTAATAAAATATAATTTGTCTGCGTGTCGTTTGTTTGTTTGCATTTTGAATAACGGTTGCGATCTTTGCGGCTTTGGCGCGCGGGTCTCTCACAAAAGCCAGGAATACGTGTGCACAGCCATTACCCTACAGCGTTGCGTTATTTCCATTGTGCTGTAATCTATAATTGCGATATACTACAACATAGCACAAGCGCACACACACACGCACACAAACTCAGCTTGTGTGTATACGGACAGTCGCACATATACTGGCAAACGCAACGTCCAAGACGCCCCCGCTTTGCCCTTGAGCTGGCATAGTAAGAAGCATTCGATTTTTCACAACAAGACGTGAAAAAACGCAAAAAAATAACGGACATACTTACGACTGAATAAAGTTTGCGCAGCTTGCGAAAAAGAATAATAAAAACATATATCTTTAAATATACACTTAGAAATATAATAAAATTATATAGTTATATATAAAAGGAAGTGGTAGGCGTTCATAATGGATGTGCTCAATCAAATACTCAACATTAATGCTGGTGGCGCCTATGGCGGCGGCAAGGCGGGTGGCGCCTTCGATCCGCTAACGTTTGCCATGAAGCCTCAAGTAGTCATACGCGCCCTCTGCTGGGTAAGTAAAGTAAATCACATACACACATGCATGCAAAGGATATTAGAGAGGGTGGTTTATGAAGTTATGCAGGAAAACCAAATGCATTGGTATTTTAACTATCCATAAAAGCTAAGGAATGTTGCATTGCCATTTCCTTTTTTACAATGTGAAATGAAAAAATGGTTTACCCACAAGAGCTCGAAAATTAATTGTAACATGAACGTAACACAATTCTCATGAGAAATGATTAGGATTTGATATTGTTAGAAAGTTAATGGAATTGAAGCATGGTTAACAATTAACAATGACGGGAGACACAGCTGCGCAAATGCTATTAAAAGTCGCACGACTATGAAAATTTGAAATAAAGGCCATCAACTATAAGCCAATGCAATGGCCAACAACAAAAGCCATTTGTAATAGCCAGCGTGTGCGTCATAGCGATTGGCAAGTGAGCAAGAACAGTTAATAGTAACTTAGAACATGAGTTTGCTTTCGTTTATATTTAATAGCAATTTGTGCTGACGAAAGCACACACACAGAGGGACACACACACAGGCGCATACACTTGTAAGCTATATTTGTACAACAAGAACAAAGATAAGGTTGGGGCAGGGGATCTGTCAGTTGGCCAAGTTTTGCCAAGGACCTGCTTTGTTATTGCAGTTGGCGTTGCCTATCCCCAGGCGCTGCTTATGCTCGCTAAACTTGGCCTTCACTTAAAATTGGGTCACAAACCTAAATAGGTCTGTCTCTCTCTTTCTCTTCCCCTCTCTTTCCATCTTTCTCTCTACGTGTGTACTTGAACTTCTGGTTTGTTGCACCTGCTCTTTAAAATCAATATATATACTTATATATAGATATATATTTCACTACGCACACGGCGTGCATTGGATCGTATTACGCTTTTACGCTTTTTACGATTTTCATTGTTTTATTTTTTTTCATCATTCAATAATAACAAATTTTTTTTGTAAACTTTCGCCAGCTGTTCTCCATTGTTGTCTTCGGCTGCATATCCTCCGAGGGCTGGGTCGAAAAGGATGGCAAGGAGATGTGCTTGTACAATAACGATGGCATGGCCTGTAAATATGGCAATACCATTGGCATTTTTGGATTCCTCGCCTCCATGTATTTCATTGGCGGCGAGTTCATGTTCGAGCGCATGTCCTCGGTGAAGAGCAGAAAGCGTTATGTCATGGGCGACATGGGATTCTCAGGTTCGTAAGCCCATACTCTCTAAGTTTTGGGGCTTCGGCTTATGTGTGTGTGCTTGCAGCTGCTTGGGCCTTCTTGTATTTCATCGCCTTCTTCTACTTGTGGTCCCAGTGGAGTTCAGCCCCCATGCCTCCTCTAGGCATTGGCGCCGGCAGCATGAAGACGGCAATCGTGTTCTGTTTCTTTAGCATCTTTAGCTGGGTAAGTGATGGTCACTTGACCAGTTATTTGAATTGATCTAAGATGCCATCACTTGCAGGCTCTGTGTGCATTTATGGCCTACAAACGTTTTCTGATTGGCGCCGGCGATGAGTTCACCTCAGCCTTTGAGACAGACCCGGCCAATGTGGTGCACCAGCAGGCATATAGCTACTCCATGGACAACGACAATGAGCAGTACAGCGCCTCGCCCTTCGGCCAGCCACAGCAGGGTAAACCATATTAAATATTGATAGTACTGAATATTGCTAACAGAATAAATCCACTTTCAGGCATGGAGCAGCAGTCGGGCATGGAGTATCAGCAACCCACCTACTAAGCGTATCTCTTAGCTAGTTGTGCCACTTCTCCGTTGTCGACACACACATTTTTTGGTAGTGCAAATGGCAAATACAATTTTTACACCAACTACAACTATATATCAAGTACACAAAGTTGGCTTAACTTAATACACCGATGTCAAGCATATACGATTAACAACAAGAACAAGAACAAGAACAACAGCAGCAACACCATTTGCTTTAGCAGGGAAAAAGCGTAAGCGTAAGCGTAAGTAGCAAGCCGATCTGCTCAGTTAATAGCCCTATCCTTATACAGAATAATATTAATGATAATAATTTATAAGCTAGCCCCTAAGTTGTGTGTGCAGTTTTTGTAGTGAAAATTTGTTGCAATATATACGACTATGATATATACATATTATATGCTAAATACTATATATATATAAATGTATATATGTATATATATATATATATGTATATATATATATACACATATATACAAATAATTATGCTTTAAACGTTGTTAGTTATTTAGTATTAACATTTCTTGTGCAAGACCCTGGCCCTCTAAGTCCAGCTCAGCTTACGATTTGGCTTCATAAAAGAATGCGAAAATGTTTTTTAGACAAATTTACACACGCCAGCAGTTAAACGATATAGTAATTGACCCACACACTAGTTAACTAGCAGACATCACAAGAACTGCTCAAGACATATCCATTTTACAACCGACAGACCAGAGAAGCATGCAGCGCATTTTTACACACTCCACTCTTTGTTCAGCTCTAGTTCTATTGAATGCGTCTCGGCAGGAGCTGCAGGACCTATGGCCAGGGTAGCTTGAAAATTAGCGCATATATGAAAACAATAAAATACAACGCCAAAATGTAAAAATTCTAAAATTGAATTACAGCTAAAAATTGTTAAATGGAAAATTCGACAAAAAAGCTCTGAAAAACGAGCAGACGGGGTATGGAAAATATTTATAAATGTAACAAATATGTTTGTCTAGTTTTTCAAATAATATTAGTGTAAAAAATGAGCTTATAACTCAGTTTTTAACTAATATTTAGTAGTCGAAAAGCTCTTAAATATCAGTATTTACAAAAATAACAATAATCACTATTAGACACAAAAAATCTCAAATTGTTTAGTATTATAATTAACAAAAATATTTACACTCGGGTTTGCATCAAATTCACAGAAAAGTTTGAAGACAGAAATATACTCAAAAAGATATTTGCAAATAGGACGAGAAAGTAAAATTCGATATTTATTTCAATAACAATTTCATGTTCATTATAATTATTTATTTATTATGCGAATTCGGAAAATAAATATTAATTGAGAGCATTTTGACCCCAGAGAATTGTTAGCCCATATAAGAATTGTATAGTGTATTGAAACCAAATATATTCATGCTATACAATTGAAAATTAATCAATATCAATGAATGTAAACATATTTAAATAATTGAACATAAATGTTTGTTTAGTGCAGCATCTAATTATGATAAACTACGAGAGAATTTGTTAAACAAAATATATATATTATATATTTATGTATTGTACATGTAAATTGTGTAAGCCAGCTGTATGTATATGTATGTTGTATGTGCAAAAGGCAAAAGCAAAACTAATTGAAAATAAATTCAAACAGAAAAAAAACCAAAGTCAATAAAGAAAAATAACCAAAAGCAGTTCATGTGAAACTCTATTTAAAGCCAAAAACACGACACTAATTCGCAGTAAAAATTAATATATAAATTAATCATGTAGAAATCGTGAACGTTAAATAATTAATAAAAATTTATGCATTCAGACACAGGTTGACAGAAAATACAAATAATATGTATAATCGGCACAAGTCGAGGCAAAATTATAAATGTACTTGTTTAAAAATCAGCGAACAATAATGTAACAAAACCAATCCCAACTAAAAACTGGAAAACAAAAAGAAAACATTCAATAAAGTATGACACATATTTTTAAAAACCAATCAACATAAAGAAACGCTTCTGGGATTCACAATAATGGGAGCTGAATTATTTATAAGCCGGGGTCAATAGCTTAATAAATAAAAGTCTATGTGTCGATGTGTCGGCGATAAGTCTTATGCGTGAAAGTTGACCAAGTAAGAGTGATACTCTTTACAATAACCATATTTCAGCATCTTTAGAAGCTATCGATAACTTTGAGCTATTTAGTTATTCAGTTGCTGCTGATTACCAAAGTTTTTGCTCAGTTGTCGTTATGGATTTTAAGCCAACTTTTATAAGTAAAATTGTGCAATTCGCAATTGGATTAATTAGCTCATTTGATTGATGTGCGTTTTCACATATAATGACATGGAAATAACTTCAAAAGACACTCAAAAATAACTTAAAGCCTTTTATAATTTATATTACAATCGCTTTTGTTTGGCAAGATTGCAAAAAGAACTGAATTCCTTTTTTTACTTTAAATTATAATCATATGTTGAGCTTGATTCCATGACTAAATGCAAATGTTCTTTCATTCAATATAAGTTATCTTTTAATTGAAATTGGTATGCAATAGTGAAATATTACGTGTCAGATATGACTGTTGTATAAAAGCTCTGAAAGCTAAATTTAATATAAATTTGATTTGATCATTGTCTAAGTCAGTTTTAATATTTCCATAGCAGACGACGGATGGGGTTTTAATAGCTCTAATGTTGTTGATGTTTAGGAAGTTAGAAATATTAATAAACTTGGACAGGGCCACTTCTGTTTGTTATATAAGATTTGCAGCTAATTTCTAATTCTTTCAGTCAACATGGCTTCAAGCTATAAAGAGTACTTATTGTTGTGGCACATATGTGTTCTATTCTCTGTCTGTACAGTTATTTTAATGAAAATGTATTTCAGAGTTTATTATTATCTTTTATTGTCATTCATTATCTTCTTATTTTATTTTCTACAAACAAAGGTAACAAAATACACAATATACAAATCATAAAGAAATACTTAAAAAAGACTTATGTGGGGTACTGGGAACGGTCTACAGTATGGGGTAGCTGCACTCGCTGGCAATGCCGCAGAAGTTGCTCGGATTGCTTAATAGTCGGAAGAATCCACCCTCGCCCCAGTTTTCCGAGTATGAGTTCTTGACGATCCAATAGTCACGTCCATTTTCGCTGCCGTAGCCAACAACAACTACGGCATGGTTGACTTCTTCCTTGTTGCATTCCTCGTCGTCGTAGATGCCGCCACTGTATTGCTGAAAGGATGTGGGAGATGCATTCACGGAGCAGGCCAGTGGACCCAGCGTGGCAATCACTTGCTTCATCGTCTGCTGATCGCCTGCTTTGATGCGCGCATAGTCGCGTATCTTGACAATGCTATCGCCTGGAAACGTGGTGGTATCATTCCGTTTGCAGTCCAACGCCTTCTGCACGTATGGATACTTATTGGCCAGCGTAACTCCGTGGTCACGTATATACTCGAATCCATACTCCTGAAAGCCGCCGTCGCAGCCATTGCTGCCATAAGCGTCGGAACAGTCCAACAGATTCTGCTGTGACAGCGGAACCAGCACCCCCGTTCGTCGAAACAGATGCCCCTCGAGGGAACCTGTCGCCGAAAATGCCCAGCACGCGCCACACGAGCCTTGATGGCCAGGTGGAGTAACTCCCCCCTTCTCACGCCAATCGAACGATTCCGGCAGGTTTGCATCTGAGGGTTGTGGAGCGGGCAAAAAGTTAATGTGGCCTTTAGTTAGTGTCCTAAAATTAAGAGCAAACTCAAAATATTATTTAATGTTTCTATTACATTGACTGCATACAACAATATTATTTTTATTTAATTTAAACTTTTCAATACTAATAAAACATTACCATCAAAATATCTAAATATATAAATAATATATATAATATATATAAAAATATATGAGAAATAGGCTTAAGCAATAGAATTTCTAATTAAGTCTATGCTGTCATACTTACTCGCCTTCCACGGAGAGCTTGGAGCCGAGCAGTGAGGAAAGCTCTTTGCGTGTCATATCGGCGAATGCGTTAAGGCTGAGCTTGTAACTGCTCGAATGACGGTTGTTTAGATCCACTAATGACTTCGTTGCGACAAAGATGCTCTCGCGGAACTCGCGCTCCTTTTCGTCTAGGTATACTTTACCCGTTTGCCGCAGAAAGTCATCGAAATCGCGGACATTGGTGAGCTTGGGAAATGATTGCAGCGTCTGCAATGACACAGCATTTAGACAGGCAAACAGCAACAGCAGCTGCAACATCTTCACTTTCCACATCCACATCTAAATGGCGAGAGATGGTCGAGAGTTCAATGATGTAAGAGTGAAAATGATTAAGTAAACGTTATAGCCAGGTGCACCTGTATAGGAACTACCCTAGCAGAATGATGTACTCTATACAAATTCTTCAAGCTTACGACATACAAAAGTTCTATGGGATCTATTCTGAATACCATCTGCAATTTGTTAATTATGAATTCCCAGAAATTTATTTCTCTGGTTGTCTTAGATAAGCACGCAGAGCAATAAACATTTTGACACTTTTTAGCAGATAATAGGCTTTGATAAGTTTTATTCCAATTTTAATGTTTATTTTTTTTCGAGTGAAATATTAGTTCTTTTTTTATTAGTTTATTGCACTGGAGTTTTTGATTAGGTAATTCACAGTTCGACTTGATTATATTGTATTCATTTTACTTTTTCCTATTTATTTGGCCCATTTTATCACCATAGCTATTACTGAAATTCGATTTTAATTATTGCTATTAAGTTTTAGCTGTTTGCACAGGCTGAAGTATTTCGATTTATATTATTTTAATATATGCACAATCTTAGCAGATGAGCTCGCATGCGATTCGTATCTTTCTTCTTTGAACAGATTTGTGCCCTCGGCAACGGTATTAAGTTAAAAACATGCCACTCATTAAGCATGAACGCATATAAATTTCACTTTCGATAGTTCAAATAATCGCAGTTAATAAGGTTTTGATGCGGTTGAAAGGCGCCGAGTCACGAATGAGAACGTGGAGCTCTTTCGAAATGTGTAAAAAGCTCAAGTAATCTTAATTACTTAGTACTATAAGAAAGGTTTGCATCCAAATACACGCACACACAAACGCACTCCATCATATACACACACACACACATACAAACAAACAAACACATTAATAATCCACATGTCGTTGCACACTAATCACCTTCTTCTTTTGTAATTTAGTTTTATTTTCACTATTGTTAGCTTGCGGCTGTCCGTCTCTTCTCGTGTGAAGATGTGTTTAAGATGCTGCTGCTTCGAACACTTCACACGTTTTAACTCGCGTTGGCAATAGGCGTTTCCGTTTTATAGGCCCTGGCTTGGCCCAGCGACCCAAAGACAAAATTAAAAACCTGCTCAGCAGAAGTCCGAGCTTCATTTTGAAATTTTTTATAAGCTTTTCTTACATTTTAAATTCAAATTTTTCATTGGTTCACAGCTTACAAATTGCAAGCCCTGCATGACGCATGCCAACTGTAAAATGTTTCTTGTAACTAAGCAAGAAGTATCCAAGAAAAAATTTACATTCATTTAAGACCACGAGGGTCGATGGATTTCATTTTGAGAACTTGAATATTTATTATTTTAATTCTTTTTTTTACGATTATCACTGATATTTCTTATTTATTGATGTTTCAGCCTAAATAAATTAGCACAAACTAGAACAGCTTTAAAATGGAGCACCGAAATCTTAATGCTCTCACTCAAATAGATGAAATAAAAAATAAGTATTTAATCTTTGATCTATAACCTATGATTAATGGCTTGAGATTCTAGATAATTGCGGTTTCGGGCAAAAGCACCGTCGGTAGTTTTCTTTGAGCTGAACAAAATCACAATATTCTTTTCTTGTGAGTTAAATTAATAAATGCTAATTTTTGCAACCAGTTTTGAAGGCTTAGACTATCACATACATTAATTCATTGTAATGTTGTAAAAGTATCGAATATATACTTAATCAATATACTTAATGTGTGAAGTGCTAAAAGTCAAGGGAACCAAATAAGTTTGACTGAATTAGTAGTTTATTAACAGCTTAGAATGTTCTATCGAAGAGTGGCTACGTTTTGAGGGACAAAGGCAATAGACACTACCATGAAGGGAATCCAAAAAGGCTGACTGAATAGTTTATTGAACTGGTTAAGGTGGTGTTGATAGAAGAGTGGACACGTTTTGAGTGACGTATGCGATAGACGCTACCATTTTATAGACCATGAAGGGTAGGTCTGATTGATTAAATACTTTATTGATCTGGTAAAGATGTACTTTTATCGAAGAGTGGGCACGATTTAGATGACGTATTCAATAGACGCTGCCATGAAGGGGAATCCAAAAGGTCTCATTGAATAAATACTTTATTGAACTGGTTAAGATGGTTTATCGAAGAGGGCACGCGTTTTGAGTGACGTAGGCGACAGACGCTACCATCGAAAAACCTTGTGAGTAGAAGTCCAAGGTTCACATTGAAATTTCTTATATTTTGTCGTCTGGCTGGAAATTCGATTTTTTCAGCTGAACTTCTTGTAAGTTTGTAAGTTTTCCTTAGAGCCTATCAACTTTAACATGAAGTTTGTAACTGAGCAAATAATCCAAGAAAGAAATATCGAATATATTTTTGCAGACATTTATTTAAATTCTGAAAATCAATGGATTGCATTGTTAGCTCCTAAGACTATGCATATTTGCTAATTAAATTTTAATGAACCACAGTTTTTTTATTATTAACATAGATTTGCTTTTATAGATGTTTCAGTTTTAATGTGGAGCCTTAAGATCTTAAAAAATTACAACTTAATATTGACATAGTAATGAAAATAAGGTGAGCTTTAAGGCATTTAAGGCATTTCCTTTAAGCTCAACATATATAATAATACAATTTTAGATTTAGCTTAAGACCAGACCTAAGGTTTTGCTTAAAGTGCCAACAAATTGCAGGCTATTTGCTGATAGGCTTAATCAAATATGTAAAATGTTTAATTTTAATTTAACAATTAAATTAAGAAATAATAAAATTATAATAAATTTATTAAAATTGTTGCTTTTTCATAATATATCTACTTATTGTATAAGTGGATTAATATTTAATTGCTTACGAAGTAGAAATATGCTCAGTGTAAGCCAAACAATTTCCATTTATTGTGCACAGTCCTAATGAATGCTAATTTATGCAACCAGTTTTATAGGCTTATGCGTCCAATCGAAACTTAAATTTAATGTTCGGTTATATCATTTATGCGTGTATAAACAAATTTGAAGCAAACGATTTACATGGCTCAAATTTACTGCTGCAAGTAAATATAAAACTTTAAATCATACAAATTTTGTATTCATGGTCAAGAAAAAGGGGAATTAACGTAAAAAATTAGCATTCGGCAGTCAAAGATGATTTATAGTTAGCAGCTTGATTTGGATTAACCAAGAACACATGAACACGGATGTGCCTATAAGAATACATTGCTGAGTTTTATTTTTAAAACACGGGGGCTTTGATCTATGTGTGGATAGATTGCTTAACTGCCTGACAATTGCCAGGTTTTACAACATTTACGATCTTGGCAACAATTGGAAGGGAGAGAGAGAAAGAGAATTTTTGGAATTGTGATTGAACTAGGCCAGTGGAAATTTCAAATTAACAGAGATATGAGAACCTCCGACGGCACTACGACATGTAAACAGACCACGCCTCGTCAACAAGATATATACGTACATATATGGTTACCATAATTAGACAAGTGCGAATTAAGCATTTGCGGACCGCCAAGAATGACAGTCATGAATTTAATGCCGCCTATGTAGAAATCTATTTGCACATTTCTTGCGCTATGGAGCGTCGTTTATCTATTATTTGCTTGTCTAATCATAAAGAAAGTGCATGGATGGGCTCGACTATATAAAGGTTCGTCTAATGCTCAATGGTTAACTAGTCTCTGCGATATATTCGAAATGTTCAAGCTTTTGCTGTGCTGTCTCGTGGTCTCTGGCGCCTATGCCATCAACCATGGCACCCAGGCTGCCGATTTCGAAGCATATATGGTGAGTTTTTCAAAGTTGTCTTAACTATCTTTGCGAAGTGCTGGAATACTCTCAGTTTCTTTCTGCAATCGTAGCAAAACAGTGCTTAAATTAAATATATACTGGCTTGATGGATAAAAAGAATTTATGCTTAACAGATACCTTCAAAATATGAGTCTTCATTCTATTAAATATTGAAATATAATACATACCGCTTACATATTTTAGAAAAAATTTGGAAAAGTCTATACCCCTGCGGAGAAAAACAATGCCCAATTTTACTACAACTATCATAAGAACTTGATAGCTCAGCAAAATGCGCTGGCAGATCGTAAGGCAAGCAGCTATCGTGTGAACGAGAATCAATTCTCGGATATAAGATTGATAACCTTTGCTGCACGTTTGCCGGAGGCTCGCTATCCGACGACCTCATTCAATGTAACGCCCATCACACCGATTGAAGTAGCTCCACCTGAGTTTGACATACTGAGCCAATGGGGCATTGAGTTGGTGGCCCAGGATCAGGGCACTGTGTGCAGCAGTAGCTGGGCCTATGCGGTTGCCCGTTCCATTCAAATTCTGAATGCCATCCAGGTTGGAAATTTTACGCCATTGAATAACTCCGCCCAGGCATTGATCGATTGCGCTGGCATGGGCAACGGCTGCACCACGCAGGTGCCACAAATCGCCTTCGACTATTTGACTCAGAATGGAGCCCTTTTGCTAAACGAGGCTGATTATCCGGCTACCAATACGGACAGTCAACAGGGTATGTGCAAGCCACAGATGCCACCAAGTGCAATCAAAGTGGATTCCTACGGCACCATTCCTGATGGCAATGATGCTCTGCTCATGCGCTACGTTGCCAGCGAAGTACCCGTGATTGTGGAGTACAATCCGGCGACCTTTGGATTCATGCACTACAGTAGTGGCGTCTACGTGCCCCCAGTGAGGGCTCAGGCTAGCAGCTCCCAGTTCCTGGTGGTGGTTGGCTATGGCCACGACACGGAGAGCGATCTTGACTACTGGCTTTGCCTCAACTCTTTTGGCGACACTTGGGGTGAAAAGGGCTTCATCAGAATCGTACGCAGCTCTACCCAACCCATTGCCAAGCGCGCCATTTTCCCCAACAGTTTGGGCACGATTGCGACTACGCCCTCTACACCAACTACTACTACTAGAGCTACACCAATCACACCATAATTATAATGTGAATGATTGTAACCAATTTTTCCATAATATATATATTTTTCTGTCTTACATAACGTGTGTTTGTTGTCTTTAGATTTATCAAATTTACTTTAAGTCTTATAAATTTCAGCATTGCTCTTACTCATGCTCAAACAGAACAGAGCAAAACTAGGTTGGCAATATGCTATGCTAAATCTAAAAGGAAATGAATACATTTTCATTGTTGATTTGAATATTACTTTCATAATTCCGGTAGCTATGATTAGAATGTTTTCTGTTTTAAAATCTATTTGTTAGTTAACGCCATAAATAACTTTTGATTTCTGTCACCAAAGCCAAAGATTTCGTCTGCTAAATTTCCAATTCAAATATATGTATGCAATGTTGGTATAATAGGCTTATGTTTGAAATATTAGAGGGAGGCACAGCGAGATACAGAGGGAGACAGAGAGAGAGAGACCAGTCATGCTACTTAATGAACTCCTAATGACTTTCATATTCAAATAAAAAATAAATTAAGTTTGGTTTCATTTTACAAATGGCTTGTAGACTAAACTAATCCGTATTAATTGTTTTAGTATTAACTTTTAAAAAGAATGAATTTATTCATTTTGTCACCAAGACATGATTCGAATTTGAAACTGGAATAACCCAATGAAGTTTGGTAGATATTTTAGCTTACAGAAAGTCTGGCGGGAAAAAAATGCAGACAAATTTCCACCTCAAAAATATATTTTCGGTATCTGCTGGTACAGCTCTGTTTCGAATCCAAATTTTAATATTACTAAACAAATTACCAAGATGTTGCCCTCTGCTATTAACCTAATCTGTTAACATATTCGTTTTAAAAAGCGTCTGCAAATTGAAATACGGTTCGAGCTTGATTTTGTTATGTTTCCGTAACGCCTGTTTTGACAAACTATCGTCATATATCATTTGAAAAATTGGCTTTAAAGAAATTAATTCACAAATAACTTGTTCGATGAGCTGCATAAATAATGCCAAAGGTAATATTATTGATTTGTGAAAGTGTGTAACTTTTTTGTTTTGTTTTATTTATTGTTTTATTCAATTTTTGTATTTAGTTTATTTATTGATTTTTCATCTACAAGCGGAGCTTTACAGACTTAAACGCTAAAAATTAACAAGTTCACATAATTTTTGTAAATTGTTGTTGTTTTCTTTTTTTTTATTTTGTTGTTTTTTATTTTCTTGTAATTTTTGCATATATAATGTTTTTTGTTGGGTTTGCTTAGAAACTCATAAACCAAATACAAATTATCATAAATTTCACGACTCGCCAGCGCAGACAAAACACATATATTTTGTATTATTATTATTATTATTATAACATATGCAACTGTGTGTGTTCTTCTTCAATGTTTATATCTTTACTCAAATCTGTGTTCGAAACGTTCATTTGGTTTATCATTAATATGGGTGTATTTATTATAGGTTGGTTTACCTCAAGATGAACCCAAATTTGTTTTTTTTTCTGTTTTATATATATTTTGTTTAATAATATTAAATAATATCATATATGCTTTCATTCTGAGTTTTGTATTGTGGTTAGCATTTTGTTATTATCAACATATATATTGTGGGATTTCTCTATTATTAATTTACTTTAGAATCTCGTCACTCGTAAAGCAAAGCTCAATGATATGATTCACGCAGTTTATATTATTATTATTTTTATTTTCATATTTGCTTTTTTCATTTTTGCGTGTGGTTTTGTGTGAAGTATGTGTTCGGTTTGCGTTTATTTTTATGAACTATAAAATAATATGTGGTTCCATTGAAATTTGTTTTTGTTGTTTTTTATTTTTAAAATGTGATTTTCTGTTTCTTTTTAAACTAAATATAATATAATTTATTTATTTATTTTTATTTCTTTGTCTCATTGCTTTTTTTTCTTTACTTTTTATTTCAATTTATTTATAACAACGGCTAGTGTAATTTTGTTGTTGTTGTTATTTAATGCACATTTTATTGTTATTATTATTTTTTTATTTTTTTTTTGTTTATAAATTAAAATTAGTTAAGTTTATCTACATATGCTCACAATGTTGTTGTTATTTTTGTTCATATAATTCTTAATAATATTTAACTAATAAATATCATTTTATTTATATATATATATATATATATATATATATATATATATATATATATAAATGTATATATATATGTTAATGTATATAAGTATATTTATGTATGAAATAAATTAATGTATGCATGTAAATATATTTAATAAAATTTCCAATGTTATTTGGTTTTGTGTTGGCTAGTGTTTGTTGTTCTTGTTGTTGTTGGGTTTGCAATGTTTTATGCTGACTGTACTTTGCCTATTGGCCGTGTCTGTATTTATTTTCTTTTATTTGTGCCTATCAATTTGTCAAAAAAGCACTTGAAATTTCATATTTAGACTAAATGCTTGTAAAATAAAAATATAAATGAATTTTAAAAATATATGTAATTAAACTACACGAAATCTTGTTTATTTTATTTTTAGGAAGATTTTTTTATATTTAGTTATTTGTCTATTTTTATTTACTTTTTTATTTTTTTTTTTTTTTTTGTATGAAGCTTAAAATGGACAAAATATGATTTTTTATAATTTCTTATATATTTTTTAAGGTTTTCTGTGTGTTTTTTTTGTAAATAGTTTTTTCTTTTTCGCTATGTTATCTGCTTTTAGTTGAAATTTTCATATTATGCTATTTGTTTTTTTTTTTTACTGCAATGAATCATAATTTATTTTTGAGATGATCTTGATTCCTAGTTACTTGAAATACTATACTCTATTAATGTACTCATTGAATTAAGTTCTGTTAGATATCATATGAAGAGTTTGGTTTAAAATTTACCTTTTAGGGCTCTGTAAATATCGCGTGTTTATAGTTGCACTTCATGAATAGATTCTCATGGTATGGAAATTATGATTTTTTATTTAAATAAATTTATTCAGTTGTGAAATGTTTGAAGAAACAAAAAAAAAAAAAATCGACACAATTGAAGAAGGTTTTTGAAAGTCTTAAAATCCTGAACAAACATATATATATATATATATATATATATATATATATATATATATATATATATATATATATATATATATATATATATATATATATATATATATATATATATATATATACATATATATATACATATATATATAATTTTATATTTACTTGAGAAACTACATTTTATTTATTTAAGCTTTTTTCGGTTTTCGTTTTAAAGTTGGGCATGAAATTTGTTGTTTTTTTTTTGTATTAGGCGGAGACATTTACTGGCAGTTTTTTGTTTATTTCTTTTTTTGGATATACATTCATAAAAAATTAATATAAAATTCAAATGAGCTTATAAAATAAAACAATTCATTAATTTTGACCGCCCAAATATTTTTTTATTTGTTGTTTGTTTTTTTAATTTTACATTTACATCATTAGAGGTACTCTTTACATGCATGTCTTTTAAATGAGCCCAACAAATAAGTACAGAGTTTTTATATTTTTTTGGTAAATGTTTTTTTTTGCACTTTACGCTTACGAACACATGTATAATTAATTAAATTAAATTAAACTAAGCAACTTAATTAACTGGCCATCGAAGTGGATTGCCATTTATTAACTGAAAAATGCCCACGTGAAGTTTTTTTTCGAATCCAAAATCAATTAAAATTATACGAAGATAGATTCAGGGAGTATTTATGATCTCTCGACTCTTATGCTAACTCTTGTCATGAGGATCGCGAACCCAGTGGCTAGGGCGAACAGCAAAGGCATCTGCGATGAGCCAACGGCAGTGGCGCCATTGCACAGCTCCTGGGTGCAGGCGCAATAGGTGGCGGACACATCGTGGGTGCCCGAACGCCTTATGCACTCCTTGTCGGTGCGTTCGTCGGGTATATAGCCGCAGCCGCGTACAATGCGAGTCTTGCCATAAACTGAAAATAATATTTCGTTAGCGTTTCTAGAAACGTGAATCAATGTGCTCTATGTGCTTGATAGATAAGAGTATTACAAAGAGGAAGCTGATTTTTAATTAAAATTTACTTTTATATTTATTGGCTCTATCAGTTTAGCTTGGCACTTACTCTTCTGAATAGTTTTGCGGCACAGTATGGGCTTGTATTTGTCCTTCAGATGCTCCAAAGGCTCCTGCTTGCTGCAGTTGACCTCGCCGATGGAGTAGGGCTGAAAGGGATCGCCGCAACGTGGATCATACTCGCTGTTGCAGTCATAGCACATGAGTGCCGCGGAAACTGTAAAAGGCAAATGCAGAAGAAGAAGAAACGGCTTCAATATAAATCCATCCATAATCATATCAAATTGCATTAGGTATATGTGAGTGAGTGCCTATGTTTTTATGTGTGTGTTAAGCCACTCGTAAATGCCAGGGCTGCGTTGTCTAACAATGCGAGCCATTTGAAGAGGCAACGAAATGGGTGCCAGGGGATCACAGGGTAGGGGTGGGGGAGGAGAGGTGTAGGCACTTTGGTATTATATTTGTATTGCATAAACCTGGGCGCTTACCTTGTATGCAGCACAGCACGCCTAACAACAGCAACGTTTTTTCCATAAATGGCGACATTTCAGCAGCTGTAGTTGTTTTTGTTTTTGTTGTTTTTGTTCTTTTATGTACCTTGCACTTGCTTAGCAAACTTTTATTTTATTTTCAATTCTCAATGAAATGCGCTCAATGTTTTTTCTTGCTTCACTTGAGCTAAATTATCATGTTAGCTGAAATGTAAAAAGAAATAAATTCGTTTTTATTTTATTTTTCAGTTTCATTCATTTATATAATCTATTTAATCATTCATTTATTTTCATCGTCATGTTATGAGTATGTTTGTAATAATTTTTAATATTTGTTGGCACTTTGAGAACTTGATGTCTGCTCAGCACTTTAAAGCGAATGAACTTAATTGTGAACCATTTAGCTCAACGAAAATCGCTTGACAAAAATAAATAGAACTGTGTGCGGAAAAGAAAAACAGCAAACGCAAAGTGGGCCGCATTTTTGTTGTCGAAAATAGGCAAAATTAAGACAGCATAACGAGCGCGGTGGAGTGGGGTGCTTGAAGTGCAGGACAATACTGAGCGCAGCGGCGCAATGCAGTGCAGCTCAGTACAGAGAGCGAGAGTGTAATAGTGCGCACAAGGCTGTTTCGACTGGAGAGTCAAAGCGAGATAAGACACAGCAGCTGTGATGACGCGCGGTGGAACCTAAGTTCATGGAACAAAATAGTGAGTGTAAATAGTGAGTGTAATTCGCACTCAACGCTCAGCAGGCAGCCATTTAATTGGATTGTAATGATTGCTGTGCAATTGTTCTTGTTGCTTTAAGTACTTTGGCAGTTGGTTAATAAATTTTGTAAGATTCAATTTGTTATCAGTTATGAGGAACGACTGATCAATATACAATTATTTTAATTATTTGTTTTATATGAATTAAATTAGAGAGTGCTGTACAGCAAAGAAGCTGTTGAAATTATTTTATTTTCTTATTTTTGGATTATGTATATTAAGTTTGTTATATTTGTCTCTCTTTATTTTAGTTTTTTTCTCACTTTTTCACAACTTTTCATTTTTAATGCTGCGAATGTTCGGCCGAATGAAATTCTGTTGTCAAAAATAAATAGAACTCCGAAAAAAACAGCCTATGCAAAGAGAACCACATGGTTTTTTTTCTGTCTTTTTTTTTTTTCAAAAATAGGTAAAAGTGAAATGGTATAACGAGTGTGATAGAGTAAGGGAAGGAGTGGTTGCATTGCAGAGTGCAGCATAGAGAACGAGAGAGGAAAAAAAGAGAGTGAGCGTGTGCACGGCGACTTTGAGTGAGAGCTAGCATGAGCCAAGACGCTGCAGCTATGATGACGCGTTGTGTCCCAACACACGCGACCCACTTATTGGAATATAAGTTTATGGAACCTAAAACTGAGTGCAAATTCGCACTCAATGTTCTGTTCGACTCGGTGACATGCAGCAGTCAAACGGCCATTTAATTGGATTGCAATGATTGCGGCAGTTGCTGTTGTTGGTGCAGTTCTAGTTGTAGTTGTTGGTGCTTTTATGTTTCCTGTGTGTCATCCACCCAGCATAGGCAGCCAATTGCTTGAAATTGATTTTCCCCGTTGCTGCAGTTTCTGCCAACTAGCACTCGCATATATGTATAACAGGCCTTTGGGGTATACAGTTATGGGGCATGGGTCGGCAGTGTAGCTAGGTAACCTGCCCTCAACTAGGCCAGGTGAGGCATGGGGCAAATGTGGCGAAGGGGCAGAGGGTGGTAATCGTTTTTAGTTTGATGGCTCTCTCAGGTTAGCCAAATGACTTGTTGTGGATTATGATAATGCCATGCGATACGGGTTTTATTATAGCGTATAACAAAGGGCAGTTTAGCTAACTGTTATACAGTCAAGCCGAGTGCTAATCAAATTTATTAGTCAACGTAGTTGTAGTTGGCTTGCTAAGCTCGTTTTCAGTGAAGAATGTCGTCATTATACAATTTTTCTTGTTTTATAGGACTTTAGCTAGAGGGAACTTAGCATACGTAAGTCACTTCAAGCAGCTTAAAACTGGCTCAGTCTGTTTGGCTAATAAATGTCAAAAGGACTCGGATGTAATCACATAATTGCCCACAAAATGATTACAACACAGCTTGAAGTGTGTGGCTTCCAGCTGCGGCTGCCAGCAGGGCTTATGCGTTTGCTTTGAGCCGCAGCAGACCGCAGATGAAAGTCTTTGACTGGGACAGCATGTAACCTCTTGTACCATAGGTCGTATACGTAATCAAGAAAGTGCAATGCACTGAAGGAAGCCATAGGAGGCACAATGCAGCCTGCACTTACTTGCCGAACACACACAGTAAGAGAGACACTTAGCAGCCAGATAGCATCGGAGCATGACAAAAGGCATATATTACGCATACGCCTCGTGTGCGGCTCACTTAAAATTTGGGTCTCTGGCACAGACGGCTCTGCAAAAGGAGGCAGTTCGCAAGCTGCAGGGTGTTGGCAATCAATAAGGTAACCAGTGGGACCGTTGTCATGCCGAGCAGCCCACCGTCGCGTTCTTTCATTCTGTTTCAATCGCCTTTATGGCTCAGCGACACGCGTCAATCAAAAAAGTCAAAATTGACATGTCCCGTTGTCAGCCAATGATTATTTACCATAAATACATTTATATATCTGTACGCAAAGATATATATATATTTATGTTACGTTGCGCATTTGAGAAGCGTTGCACATAGCTGTCTGTCAGCTGCATGCAACACTGTGCGTGGGCGGTGGGCGGTGGTCGGCGCCTGGGAAAATTCAATAACTGACCTAGTTCAGTTCGGTCGTCATCCTATCTGGCATGCCATGTGCCTCCGTTTTCTTTCAGATTTCATACTTCTGTGTCGATTCCAGCCAGCAAAGGTTTTTCGGCTGCTTTTCGTCCTCCTTTGTGGCTTATGTAATACTATTACCCATACAATTAGCAAAAAAGGGCCAAAGCGAAACGTTTCAGTGCTAGTTTACCTTTTTTTCTGCTTCTGCTCTTTGAATATTGATTAAACCATTATAAAAAAAGGGCAGTGTGAGCGGGGCTCTTGGGCAAAGCCATGCAAGGGGAAGGGGCGGATAAGAGTCGTAGTTGTTGTTCTTGTTCGTATTGTTGTTGTTGTTTTTGTACAGGGGGCAGCTAGTGTCCGGTTGTATAATGCAAAGAGTTTTACTAGATCGAATTAAAGTTATAAAATGTGTGCAAATTAATATATTTTATTTTCAGTTCAACTAAATTTCTAAGTAAATAAAAGTTTTTATTTTTAAAATAATAATTATTATAATTATTTTTTTCAATTATCTATGAGCTTAGTTAGAGCCTTTGTCTCGTTTCATAGTATTATTTATCATATTTTTAGTTATAATTATCGATTTATATAGATTTCATCTTGAGGCTGGAAAAATTTGCAACTGTTTTGTAATCACTTTTTGCACTTTTGTTTTCGCAACACTTTTACTCTCACAGGACACACGACTTATATAATGCAAGTTATATTGCACATATTAGCAAATTGTTTGGACTTTTTACCAGATAGATATTATTTTGTGTGGAAATTGTTCTTGGTTTATTTACGTAAGAGGCGAGAGCACATTGAAAAATTTATTTGATTACTATGCCAAGTTGGCGCCGTTGCAAATTTCTTGTGGAACCGTTGAATGGACGAGCGTACGTCGGATAATGACTACTGAAGCTGCTGCCAAATGGAAATGAAAGCGAACGAAAGCGAAAAGCAGCCGAAAAGGGCTCGGTGGGTGGATGGATGGGTGGATGGTTGGGTGGTGGGGTGGTTGGGTGGCTGGGTGCTTGCTTTGAGCGCACATTTGTGAGCAAGGCAAGGACGAAGCACAAAGTCAAAGCGTAAAGCAAGAGAGTGAGAGAGCTAGAGAATCGCGCAAGGGTGGCGAAAAAACAAAAAAAATCAAAGCAAGCGGCAGACGGTATGAGGAGAGATTGCGCGCCCTAAAAGGACACGGGAGAAGCAAAGCAAACCAAAGCAATGAAAAAAAACTAGTTAAATCGATAGCAAACGCGCCACACAGAAACCCAATCTGGATTATCTAATACGGCCAAATGGCATATCCTCTCGAAGTGCCTTATGCCTGTTTTATGTGACGCGCCAAATACAATATTTTTACTGGTACGATTGAACTACCTTTGCTTGGTGTAACACTTGATATTTGTAATCGAATTGTTGTATTTCTTTGCGGATCAGAGACGCTAAATCACTGCGATTACGCGACGCAAAACGTTGCAACCCCAAAAACGACAAATTTCCTTCTGAGCGGCTCTGCAAAATTTTGCAGCTGTCAGCCGTCGGCGGCTGCGGCGGCGGTAGCAGCGACCGGTTAGTCGAGAGTGAGCATGCGCAGTCAATAATACACTCGCATAATTTATACAAATATAACTTAATAATTGTATATATTTAAAACTTACAAATAAGAATTCTTAGACTTGAACCTCACGGGGACTATTTTTCTTAATATTTAAACTTGCTGGAAATGTGCGCCAATACTAACACTCGTGTTGCCAGATCGGTGAAATTTAATTTTTCAGGGCTGACATAATATTTGACCAAAATGTTTGCACTTCAGGATTCTGCATTAAAGCTCGTTTCTTTGTACTCAACACTATGTTAAGTATATCAGCATTTTTGTAGCGATCTCGGCTTATATTTTTAGTATCTGATCTTTCTGGTGAAGCTTCGTGATCTACTGGCTCGTCGTATGTCTCCAAATCAGCCGCAGGGCTGGCTGTTTGTGCTGCAATTATTGAATTTTTACAAAAGACATACTATTTTATAGCATTTACTCACATTTTTTGCATTTACTGGATTCTGTTTTGACCTTTTCAACTCGCTTCTGATAGGGTTTGCGTTGTTTTTGAGTTTCCTTTGACTGCCCTGCTGTTGATTTGCAGCGTTTGCTGCTGGTAGATGTGGATGGCTCCCCAGGTGGCGTTTCTGGACTAGATACGGGTAGATCTTGTTGCAAACGCCGCTTTACGTGCAAGTTCAAACGCTCCTTAATGTTGGCTTTTTCAGGTGTGCCGGGTGGTTCCAATTTAATAACTTGTAGATTTTCGGGCAAGTCGGCCATCGCACAGCTGTTTATTTATTGGCATACAAAACGATCTGGCAACCACAGATAGATGGTATTTTCATTGTACAGGTAACAGCTACATTTTCTGACGTCACAAATTCATTATGTTCTAATCAATTACATTTCAAAGGCATATGAAAACGTTTGATCTTAAAATCAAAACTAAACTAAACGTTTATCGATAATCCATCGTTGTTGCTATTGACTATATTTGCATACAATATTCATTTAACACTTCGCTTATTTAATCGTGGACTATTTCTCTACTTTCTGTACCACATCTGCAACGTCTTCATACGCTTTACCTTCTTCTGCAGCTGGAGGACGCCGTACATGAGCGCTTCTGCAGTGGGTGGGCAGCCAGGCACATAGATATCAACAGGTATGATGCGATCGCAGCCTCGGACAACCGAATACGAGTAGTGATAGTACCCACCGCCGTTGGCACAACTGCCCATTGAGATGACCCACCTGGGTTCGGGCATTTGGTCGTAGACCTTGCGCAGAGCCGGTGCCATTTTATTTGTCAATGTGCCGGCCACGATGATAACGTCAGCTTGACGTGGGGATGCACGAAATACAACACCGTAGCGATCCATGTCATAACTGGAATGGTTAATGTTAACTGTATTCATGAATACAAATAGCTCTATTCGTACCGTGGGGCTGCAATGTGCATCATTTCAACGGCGCAGCAGGCCAGACCGAAGGTGAGCGGCCAGATGGAGCCCTTTCGTCCCCAGTTGAGTAGATCATCTAGTCGAGCCAACGACCATTCGGCCATGCTGGACTGCTTGGTTCCAAAAGGAGAATAGCCCTTCTTGGGTAGGGTATTGTTGGAGTCGACAACGGGCATAGTCTGCTGTTGACGTGCCAGCACGGTGCTGAGCGAGCCGCCGAATGCGGCATTTATGGTTGATGCATTCGTTGTGCTGCTTGTTGCACGCAGCAAGTGGGAAAACGTTGGTCCAGCAATTTGTCGCAACATTTTGTCGTTGGTCGCAGACTTTTATGTAATTTGCAAAATAAACCAGGGCCGACACAAAAATGCTCTTCTTCTTTAAAAAACGTAAACAATATGCGCTACGATAGGTGGCAATCGGCAGACATTCTTGGATTGGGGTAACCATATAACATTTTGGTATTCTATCGTGTACGTGTCCACCATATTGAATTTGGTTGGCCGACCATATGGCAACGCTTACCATACGTTTTTAGCTAACTACCCGATACCGACGGCTCTCAGAAAAATTATTAATTAAACGTAATTAAAGTGTTTAAAACCATATAAAAATATTAAAAAAGTGTGTATAAATGAACAATATAGCAATTAATAAATAATTCAACGCTGAATATACGCATAAAGTACGCAAATTTTGCAATTGAAAAGCAGCAACGAAAATTATAAAAAAATTTTCGCTTGCCTCGCGTCGTCTTCAGCATAGTTAAGCATTGGTATTAGTGAGCAGGCACACGTATAGAGCGTGTGTGTGCGAGAGCGAAATAGGTGCTCCGCTGGCAGTGAGCAGCGAGCGAGTTTTGTGTGTTTGTTCCAGTGTGTACATGCCATATGAATATCGACGTAAGCAAAGGACCAACTAGAGCTTTGTATTGAGTTATGAGTGTCGCTGCAATGACTATGGACGATCAGAGACCTTTGATGAACAGTTACGATAAAATGTCTACAAAATATGATCAAAATTTGCACATGATCAACAGTAGCAACAGCAGCAGCATCAGCGGCAATAGCAACAGCGGCGCCGGCAGCGGGGCCGCTGGTGGTGGTGTTGGTGGGGGTGGCGCTGCTATTGGCGCTGTTATTAGTAGTGGCCCATCAGGCCCTGCATCGCCGACGCCGTCTGGCTTTGAGGAGCAGCCGCAGGCGCAGCAACAGCAGCAGCAGCAGCCGCATCATCATCATCACCATCATCATCATCATCATTCGACATCAACGCAAGTGCAACAAACAGCGGAGCAACAACAGAATCGACACCACCATCACCAACAACAAGAACAACAACAACAACAGCAACAACACCAGCAGCAACAGCAACAGCAGCAACATCATGAAGCCGCTGTTGCCGAAGCTGCCGCCGCAGCCGAACAGCGACGTTTGCTCGAAGGTATTAAATTATTATTTATGCATAGCTATGCAAAGCAAATTGTAAACATATATACCATATAATATATATGAATATATATTTATATATATTTCGTATGTAAACAACAAGAACAACAACGACAACAACAAACAAACAAATAACAACAAACAGTGTACATTTGTGTAAATTGTATAATTTGTTTAGTTTCTTATTTTTTTTCTTTTTGAAAAGTCGAAACTTTCAAATTATGTATGAGGTGCGATAAATAATTGGTAAATGTAGTAATAAAAATACCTGATTATTTTGCGCACCTTTGCCATTGCAAGAGCGAAGTTGTTGCATTTTTGTAAGGCGTTTGAGTTTTTGTGCAAGAAATTGTTTTAAATATGATGAAAAACACTACAAAAAAAAGAACTCCACTTCGTGTGCCTTGTTTTTTGGTTTATACAAAATCGAACTTGATAATTGAAGCGAACACTCTTTAAAGACATTCTGCGTTCTTATTTAGCAAATAAGTAATTTTTTTATTATAATTTTAAAGAAAATCAATAGCAAGTGCTTAACTCCAGTGTGTGCAAAACGAACTAAATAATATAAATATAAATAAAAAGCAATTGCAATCAAAGCAATGAATGAAACAAGTGTTGGAAAGTGTTGTGTGTGCAAAGAACAATTCAACATGCCAGTCGAATATACATATTCCTAAAAAAATGTATAAGAAAATAAACATTTATGCAAAATGTGTGTAACAAGTGTAAACAAAAAGTCAAAAGTTGATCAAATTTCTATACTCCATCTACATCTGCGTCTTCGCCTTCGTTTTCGCCGTGTGTACAGTTTTTCGTTTTTTGGCCAATTGCGTTGCCAACGTTGCTCACGTTGCCGTTTTTTGTCAACGTCGGACCCCTGCGCGCGCGCTCCCTTCTTGTCTCACTTACTATTGCTCTACTCCTTTCTTCCTATCTCTATCTCTTTTTTACTCTCTCTCTGGCCATAGTTTGTCTATCCCCCACGCATTCTCTTTTGTTACGCTCCCCAACACTGTTTACACATCTTTCAAGCGCCACGCAAGAAAGGCTACAAAACATAAAGCATATAAATTAAATACAAAAAGATAAATAATAAATTTAAAGAAAAAACGAGTGCAATAATAAGATATATATATTTAATATTAAAATCCAATAAATAATCATAATTATTTTGTGTAACCAAGCCAAGAACTTTGCCAGTGCTGAGTATAGAATGCAAATCATGGCTCCAAATAAACTTCACAAAAGAAATTATTTATGCATAATATAAAAATAATAAATAAATAAATATATCTGAACAAAACGCGCGCAAAATAATAGCAAGTGCGTATGTGTGTGTTTAGAGAATGTGGGTTGATTTGTTGTTATGCCAAGCAATGATAAGAAAATAAAAATACACATATACATATGTATTTATTTGATTTGGTGGCCGAGTAAAATTTATTACAGGGCAAAAAAAGTATTAAGAATCATTTGGCACAGACAGGTGCCTGCGTCTCTCTAATTAATTGCTCAATTGCTGATTTCTGTTCAATGGCTATATACCAGGGCTGGAGTAACATTTTAAATAATTTGTAAATAAATGATAGTGAAAATTAGATTAGATAAATCACGTAACAAACTACACGCTGCCTCGTTGAGGCCAAGAAGTATATTTTCCTTGTCAAGTAATGAAATATATATTTATTGTACTTGCAATCATGGTTTTAAATTACATAACATTCATTAAATATATCCTCCAGCCCTGATTATGATATAGGCCACATAGTTATTGTTTGCATTTGCCAATTAACACAAATACAAAAACAAAGAAATCACACGCAAACAAAATCATATGTGTTTACACACACACACACACGACGTTATAACGACGCTCGTTTTGTTGTCGCATTCAGACATAACAAGAAAGCAAATATATAATTGCCCGATAAATATTTAAAAATATAAATTTATATACATGGAATAAAAAAATAAAACTTCATATAAAAAATTATTATTGATGTGTTTGCACAGAAAAAGAAAAAAAATGTAATTTAATGAAATGGAAGTCATTGAACTTTGTTTATGAAAGCTTCTGAGCTTACAAGAGAAAAAAGAGTGTTCGAAAATGCCAGAAAATAATGTTGATATTGATGTTTGTATGAGCTTTCTGAAAATCAATGTGCGCGCCTCGAGTTTTTTGCAAGTGTTTTTCTAAATATTTTACAGTTTTGCAACGAAATTTTCAAACCGTTTGTTGTTTCCACAGTGTTCCTACTCTATAAAGCAAGAAAAAAGCAAAAGCAAAAGCAAAAGCAAAAGCAAAAGCAAAAGCAAATGCAAATGCAAATGCATAAGCAAATTCAAATGCATACCCAAATCCAAAAATATAAAATTAAGCAAGCAATACAAAAGTGCAAGCCAGTGTGTTTATATATTGAGGCAAATTTCAAGAGAGCAATCAAAGCAAAAATTAGTGCAAGAAATAACACGTGGGCGAGTGCAATGTTCGTGGCATCAACAACTAAATCCGACAACAACAGCGGTAGCAGTAGCAGCAGCAACTACAACAACTACAGCAACAACAACAGCGAGAGCGTAACAACAACAATGTCACGAACTTACACGAATGATTGCAACGCATTGGTATGATTTCGTATTAAGTTCAATTACAACAAAAAAACAAAAATATGTAAATTCTGTAAAAAAAATATCAATACAAAATATGTATTCTCCTACAATGAACAACAACTACAGCCAATATCCATAATACATCATCAAAGTTGTGCAATAATTATATATATTTATATATACACATATATATTGCCTATAAAGAACATGTACATTTGTATGAGGACGTACCGGGGAAACAGCTGCTGCTGCCTCCTCGTTGTCCGCTGACCATTGCGTTTGCTGTTTGCTGCTTTTTACTTTTCTCCGATCTATTGTTGCCTACAAACCCATATCCGGTGTGCTGCAGTGTTTACTAATACAGTTTTTATTTTATTTTACTCCTAATCTACGGGTAAACCCATAGATGAAATCGAGAGCCTCAAGTTGGAGCAGACACGTATGGGACTGCAATGCGCCGACGCACAGCGACGCGAAAAGATCCTCATGCGGCGCTTGGCTAATAAGGAACAAGAGTTTCAGGATTATGTGGTAATTTTAAACATAACTTCCTTATAGCTAAGGGTGTTCACATAAATATTTCTGCTACAATAGAGTCAAATTGCTGAGTACAAGGCACAGCAGGCGCCTACTGCCTTGGCTTTGCGTACAGCTTTACTTGATCCGGCAGTAAATTTGTTATTTGAGCGTCTCAAGAAGGAGTTAAAGGCCACCAAGGCAAAGCTTGAGGAGACACAAAATGAGCTTTCTGCTTGGAAATTTACACCAGACTCAAATACGGGAAAACGACTCATGGCCAAGTGCCGACTGTTGTATCAGGAAAACGAAGAGCTGGGTAAGATGACATCTAATGGGCGGCTGGCAAAGCTGGAGACTGAGTTGGCAATGCAAAAAAACTTTAGCGAGGAGGTCAAGAAATCGCAATCAGGTAGGATCGGCAGCTGATCAATATCAACGTTTTCGTATACAATATAAATATTTGTTTTCTTCACAGAGCTCGATGATTTTCTGCAAGAGCTTGATGAGGATGTGGAGGGCATGCAGAGCACAATATTATTTTTGCAACAGGAATTGAAGACAACGCGTGATCGCATACAAACGCTGGAAAAGGAAAACACGCAGCTTCGACAAATGAACAGCGGTAATTGTCCAAAGGAAGTTATCGACAATGCGTCAACAACCGCGACAAATGGTCAAAGCAGTAATAACAATAGCCAGTTTCAACAGCCCATCGGCAGTGGCACCGGCAGCAAATTGGAAACCATTGAGGAAAATGCTTGCTTGGACACAAATCTAACAATAACAACGACACTTACTGCTGATTATTATAATGGCAACAACAACGAACAACAGACTGTGGCTCCAGAGCTAATCATGCCCCCCGACGATGCCACCAATAGTAATGGTGGCAAAAGTGTAGCTGCGTCGCGATTGGCGCGTAAACGTAACTATGAAGAGGAGAGCGCCACATTGTCATGTGTACAAGAGACCACACCGTTGGTGCCGGCGATGCGTGAGGTTAGCGCACCCCGCACGCTCCCACCGAAGAAATCGAAGCTGCGTGGCATAGCAACACGACGAAGCTCACAGCTGGATGAGGAGCAAAGCCTGGGCATGATGACGCCAACGCCGACGTCAACGCCTCTGGTGCTGGACAATGCAGTAGCTGGCATGGCCAGCGAAGAGTCCGCAGCAACAACGACGGTAGCAAATGTTATAGAATCCGCAGTACCACTCATTGCGGAAGGCACCGCTGAAGCGGCACCTGCACGCATTTTAACGCGACGTCGATCGGTGCGTATGCAACAAAACGGTGGCAGTAGCATCGACTACTGAATCCACATCGGAAGCAAAAGCGGGAGCGGCAACGGACTTTTAAAAAGAGCGTGCTAATATTGCATTATGGCATCTGATGATTCAATTGAATATGATTTTGTCGTATGTCTGCTTATGCCTAATGGTAATCGTTAATTCTTAACGTTTATTTTGTGAATTGAGATTCAATAGAGACTTGCGGTTTATATATATATCATTATTATTATTTTTGTCATTTGATACATTTGTTCTGTAAAATACATTTGTAGTTCGATTTTTTACCCGTGCATGCAACATAAAGCAAATACACTTTACCTAATTATCCTTAGTAGAAGTCACTGATATACATAAATACATACATGCATATGTAGACATTTACAATATATAGTATATTTATATATGTATATAATTATATATACATATATTTATATAACTATATATGTATAAGATTTTAACAATTATGAAAACTACGATTTATCAACATGAGAAACACAAAATTTCATCTAACTACATAATAGAATTTATATATATTTTAAATGGCAGATGAAAAGCTATAAAGTTCGAACCCTAAATCGTCGTTTAGCTAAATTAGCGTTTAATTAATAAATTAAGTCATTTTTTGTAATACGAAAAAGTTGTATAAAATAATATAACCTATGTTAAAATAAATTGTTAAGTGTAAAGAAAAATTAAATTGACTTTGTTTTAATATAAAGATATTTGTATAAACCTATTGAATTCTGTAAGGCTTCCGCCAGGATATCTTTGCTTCTGGTGAAATTCAGAATGACCTATATTTTGTATATAGAAGAAAAGATTTTTTTAATTAAAGCGTAATTTTGAACTTTTATTAGTTGAGATTTGAAGAATGAGATAAGCATTTCATTAAACGATAGGCAGAATACATTGTAGAATATGGATTAATTGTTCGAATCAATTTGAATTGTTAATATATATAAAATTTAGAGTTTATAATGCTTTAGTTTGTTTACTGTGTAGTATTATCATAGTTATCTAAGCCCGTGACGCCCGGATAAAATGGCAGGAACTCGCAGAATTCTGCGGGATGCATGCTGCTGAGTATATTCAGGCCAATGGGGGCAAAGCTTTCTACGAAGTAGGTACAAGGATTGCGGATAAAGCTCGGTAAAAGATCACAGCCGAACAGCATGGTATGCATTAAGTTGCTCCGCTTTTCTTTGGAATCCACCAATTTTTCAATACTTGACAGCACACATTCGCATATCCAGCGTAGAGGTTTCACAAATCCATCACGCGTGTCTTGTTCCATAGAAAGCAATTGCACGTTTTCGATAACTGCATTAAAAACTTCCTGACTTAAGCAAAACTTTACCATTTGACAAATTTCCTGTGTTGAACTATTTTCTAATATATTTACAACAAACCTCCCATAAGTATTAGTCATCATGCGACAGACACCACGGAAAATTGGGGGAATAATGTGGCAAGCATTTGAGACAGCTGTAAGTAAATTTCTCCGTTTGTCTTCAGTATTTACAATCGCCTTAATTTTCTGTGTGACCTCAGTGCACAATATGCAGACGGTATTATCTACAGATTGATCCAAATCAAAGCCTTCCTGTGTTTCAGCAACATCGACTAACAATGATTTGCAACCAAATATGTTAGTATTACAGCTCAAGATGAATTTATATATTTTATACTTACACCGCTCGCTGTTTTTCAACTGAGAGTCTAGAGTCTCGTCGACATAGATAACTAACAAATAAATTATATTTGGCATAGATAAAGATATTCAGTCTAAGGGGCTTGAGTAAAAGTACTTACAATTCTGTGATTCGTATAATAAACACATGTTCAGAGTTCGGCATATTTGTTGGTGGTCCATTTTCGCTTTAACAAGGTCCTTTATCAAGTCGGAGTGCTGGCTTAACATATTCTGACATTCGTTCTCCAGATTTTCCGTCTTTAGCACTTGACACACGTGTTTCAATGCCATTTTGATATCATTATTCTTTTTAAGCATTTCACGCAAACTCACGATCACCTTATTGCAGATGTGGCAGTTGACGGACTCCTTGTTCACGAAATCAGTGCTCAACTGCAGCGTTTCGCCGCGATTGGCGTCTAAGACCTTGATTTCAAGCCTAATTTTGTCCTCTGTTTCATGGGGCTTGCTGCAGAACAAGAGTTTTTTACATATGCTTTCGTCATCTCCTCCATTTTTCAACATATTATAAAGTATGTGATAATACTGGTCAGCAGCAATCGTACACTGATGCTTTTCGCCGTGAAATTTCATACAAAAATTGATCAGCTTTTCTTTGAACTGAGCCTCTGTTGAGTTTTTTAGAATAGCCTCGCGTGCCTGTCGTACCATTTCCATGCACTTTGTACAGATATTCAAATTGTTCCTGACCGCGGGGAATAGCACTGCCTCTGGTTCAATCACAGAATTCGGACAAATGTTAATATCACGGCAAATGTCATTCGACTGGAGATACTGCTTTGTCAGTTCATAGATGTTATCAAAGTAGTAGGTGACGAGGTTGAAGCAAGTGTCCGCTAGGGTGTCGAGGCTGTAGCATGTGTCCAAAAAGTCATCAATCATTTCGTTGGGTCCGGTAGACTCAAACTTCTCTTTCAAGGCCAGCCTGAGTTGGTTGCAGTTCGAACACGAGAGCTGATCAGTTTGATCCATGTTTGGATTTAGCTCTGCAGTTTGGTAGCTTCTGTCTCCGTTGCAAAACTCCATCAATGTACAAATTTGCTGTTATAAGTAAAAGTATAAAATGGGTGTAGGTGCATAAGAACTTATTACTGTTACCTCATGGCTCATTCTCGAGAACATCAACTGATTAATCACTGGGAAGGTGTTCCTTGTAATGTCGGTACATTTCTGTCGCATATGTTTAATGGGCATCTTTTTGCAGGAGTCTTCAAATATGTGTATAAGGTTCGTGTTGCAATCATCGCAGGGTAACTCATTGCGTGCCTGCTTGATCATGCCCTTACATATCTGGCAGATAGGATTTGAGTCCACAGGCACCACCTGGTTCTCCCAGACGTTTTGGATGCAGTATCCTGTCGCTTGACAGTCGTTGGCATTGCTGTAGGTGAAGTTCAATGAATGTAGAATGTGGAAAAAGAAATCCCAACTGGCGTATGCATATTATATTATATTTATAAGCTCAGGGTAGCTGCTGGCATTAGTCACAGTTAATAGCTGTGCCTCATAATTAATCAAATTGAGTTGGTAATTTGTTTTTAAAATAGTCATACTTGCTTATATATTAATAATTAAAAGCATACATTTCAGTCAACATATAGTTTTTTCTACTGAAAAATTATTTCTTATGCTTTTAAATATAAGTTTTTATTATTTCATCTTACCTTAAATTATTGCACCAGTTTGTTGGGCTCCAATTGCACTGTCTCTTATATACCTCGTCGATGGGCGATGCGGAAACCAGGACGCCTTGGGTTTTAATGAAGATAATATTATGTAAATAATTTTAATTACAAAATTGTTTTTTTTTTTTATCAATTTTCTAAATATAGCTTCTAACTTAATGACTTACTGCACAGAATCATAGCCACAACGGGCAAGGTACTCGCTGAGCGCATTTTGTTTAAAAGTTCCATTAATTTCTACACACTTCACTTTAAATTCAAAAAGTAACTGTGCCAGAGAAGTTTCGCTTTGGCCTTATATACCATAATTGGTGAGTAAGTGAATTATTTCAGTAGAAATCACTTATCAAATCCTGCGGTCAATAATTGTGCATACATATAGCTCATGCAGAAAATATGTTTTCGATAATTAAAAGAAATAGTTTTATACGTTTTTTATTTAATTTATTTCAGTATAAGAAATATTTAATTTTTAGATTTTTAATGGGAGAAAGTTTTTATAAAATAAGTTTGTTAAGAGAGTGTTTACCTCTGGCATTGGTATAAGTTTGCTTTATTTATTTATTTTTTATTTTATTTCTATATAGGAGCTTAATAAACGTAAAGTTCTATACACTTTTAATATTTTATAAACTTTTTTTGTCATATAATCCATAAAAATGTATATCGGTATGAAGATCCTCTTGTAATATAAACCACTTTATATTATTAGATATATTTACATCTCAAAAAAATATATTGAAATGAAGCTCAGTTGCAAAGATAGAAAATTGTTTCGATCTCGTTAAAATAAACAATTATTTATTTGTTTATATGTTTATTATAGTTATCTGGTTAAATACATAAATATTGGCGTAATATAAGATATAAGCTTACATTTTTAAGCATAATGTATTTGAAAATATTTTAAAATGAAGCATAATGTGTTTAATTTAATTTAATTTTTTTAATCCACTCCAAAAACAGGTGACTCAGCGCTTAGTTATGCGAGCAAAATATTTTTAGTTATTTATAGATAGAAAGGGAGAGCAATAATATTATTGAAATGGCACACCCGCTTAAGTCACTTCAAAGCCCCCACCCTGTGTTGGAGCTGCGGCATACGTGAATCGCCTTACATATCATGTGGACTGGCGTATGCCTTATCATAAGATCGATAATCTGAGCGGCATGATTGTTAATTATCTCTTCGCATTCATGCTGCATTTTTCCCATCTTGTGACAAATGTGTGCCATAGCCCTTGCAATCTCACCCTTATCTGTGTGGTGACGCACAATGTGTTGCAAGGTCTTTATAGCCGTCTGACAGATCGAACATTTGGGCGATCCTAAGGCAATGTCCGTTAGTGTTCCATCAAGTATGGGTTGGTCATCTGTGCTGTATTCACTCTCAGTCCCAACTATGCATAAGAGGCTGATTTGAGCAGTGTAGCTCAACAGTAATTTGATTACTTACAATTCTCGCTGTAATCATTTTGTTCCACGACGTCTGTTTTCAGATGTTTTGGATTGATTAATATGCGATACATTATAAATTTATAAATATTATACTCACAATCTTCAACGTATATTGATCGTCGGCAACTGCCAATAATTTTGCATATCTGTCTGCCAGCTGTGTTCTTTGTGAATAGGTCAACAATTTGGTTGCCATGCCTTGCGACCATTCTGTCGCATCCTCCCTTCAGTTTTCCCAACTTCTGACATACTCTGTGCAAAGCTCTCTGGATGCTGCCTTTCTCCGCACGATTGCGTACCATGTGTTGCAAAGCTTTCATTGCAGTTCTACAGATGCTGCATTTGGGAGACCCTTTGATCCCTACATCAATTTGCTGGGGCTCATCGATCTGAGCGTTGCTGGCTAAATCTGTGTTCAACTGCCTTTTCTCGCTGTATTTGTTATCTAAGGGTTCGCTTTCTAGTTTATCTAGCGCTACCTCTTCGTTTTCTAATTTGTCCTGATCTAATGGGAAGCACATGCCTAACAGACTGCATATTACTCTGGGATTCTTTGCGAAGCGTGCCAGTTGATCTCCATGACGGTTGATCACCCTGTGGCATTTATCCGCCAATTTTCCGAGCTTATTGCAACAGCGATTCATGGCATTCTTGAGTTTCTCATTGCTAGTGTGCGAGCGAACGAGTCTTTTGGCCAGTCTGAAAGCGGATTTGCATGCAAAGCATTGTGGTAGTTGCGGCATACTATTGTCTTCCAATGCACTCTCTAAATCATTTGAGTTGATAACAAGTTGCTCATCAAGTTGGTCCACAATTTGGCTTGGTTCTACCACCAAGGCACTTTCATCTGATGCCCTTTCATCGCTGTTACACAAGTCCATTACAGTGCAAATTTGCTGTGACAAAAGACATTAGTTACTACTCCATTGGATATAAGTACCAAGACGACTGTTACCTCCTGACTCATTTGCGAGGACATCAACTCAATTACTTCGGATAAACTATTTCTAGTATTTTTGCGACATTTCTCTTCAATGAGCTGAATCGGCATCTGCTCGCAGGAGTCGTCAAATAATTGTTCTAGCTCCACTTGGTCATTGTTCCAGTATAAGTTAATGCGGGCTTGCTCGATCATGTCCTTACATATCTCACAAACAGGATTTGAGTCCACAGGTACCAAATGCTTCTCCCACACAGCTTGAATGCAGTGTCTCGTCGCTTGACAGTCTTTGGCATTGCTGCCATGGAATATTCAAAGTCAAATCAATATTAATACTAATTCAAAAAGAACAAAATCCTAATGAAAAAGATAATCTAATACAAGTTCTTATTGTTAGTTAGAATATGATAATTTGAGATTTCTTGTTAGACATTTTCAATCGTGTTAGGGTATATTTTTATACCTATTCAAGATTTCGGTTAGTCATTTTCAATCGTAATGGTAGGGTGATTATTTATAAAACTAAACTCAATCAAGAAAGCGGGACCACCATATATTTATGATTAAGAATATGTACAATGCGAGGGCAAAATGATTGTAAGAAGCAAATAAATTTCTATCCATTGCTTAAAATTAATTAATATGATTATTATTACTATTTTAATATGATTAATAACAAATTCTGGTTTTTGGCCCGCAGATTTGTGTTTCTCAATGTCACAAATTATAATACGAAAATATCCATAACTATTATCGTATTGCTATGAGCCATAGGGCGCATCTAGCCTTACTCTAAATAGTTCAAATGATATTTATTTTTGTCACTCATGTGAGCTTTGTTCTTACCTCAAATTGTGGCACCAGTTTGTAATGGGCCAATTGCAGTTACTTTCCACTACTTCCTCAATGAACGTTGAGGCCACGAGAACGCCTCGATTTTTTAACGAGAATTAAATATAATTAAGACTTTAATAAATAAATTAGCAAAATATAAATATAAATCTAGAAAAGTTAACAAATTATAAAAACAATTTGAAACGTTTCGCGCAAGTTTCAATATTAATTATAATTCTCACTTTTTCTATCATACATTCGAACATTTTTCATTTGATTTATGAAATTAATTATGAAATTAATTATTTGATTGAGTTCTCTATTATCATCAATGGATGGTTCACTTTGTGACTTACTGCATAGAATCACAGCCACAATGGGCGAGGAACCCGTAAACTGCATTTTGTTTCGGAGCTGTTCTATTGACTTCACTTGAAATTCGAAAGGAAACTGCAGCAGGGAATTAGATTTTTTTCTTATATACCATGTGAGATGAATAATAATAAGTTCAAAACAATAAATTAATAAAAATAGTTATAATTATAAAAATATATTTGTGAATGTTATTCATTCAAAAACCGCATAAGTACTGTAAATAAAATAAATTTGATAAGTAAAACAATTAATTTAATCTTTTTTCTTTTAGCACTTCTGACAAGTTGTTGTTTTTTATTTGTTTATTATTAATATATGCTTAATTAATACATAAAGTTCTATGTATTTAGTGTGGTTGCTTTTAAATTAAGTTTAATACAAATTGCAGTGATTAGTGAGTGTTTTAAAGGAAGTTTTTATCTCTCGTCTCGGTCAAAATTTGTTTGTTTTATTCCGAGTTTCGGCGCCGCTTTGGAAAAGCAAAACTGGATACAAATTTTATATTATTATTTATTTTCTTAGAATTTTTCTCTCTTTATGAAAAGAATTTATATCAAGAAGCCTCTCGGCTTGACTACATTTTATAATATCTCTATAGTTGTATAGCTAAAGCGAATTCAGTAAGACCTAATGGATATTTAACCAGGGAAATGGGAAAATTCAAATGGTTCGAAACGAAATAACAGAGAAAAGTGTAAAGATTAAAGAGTAAATAACAAATTCTAGGCAGTCGAATGGCACAAGGGTAGGTACACGGGTACTACAAAATTTTGAGAGTATGTCCAGCTATGGCCGTGAAATTGTGTTATAGTTTTCATCTGAAGATTTTGCCTAAATGTTTAAAGTTTTCGGTTATGAGTTTTTGTAAATTTTAACTAGTCAATATTAAATTTAATATTAGTATTAGATTAATTTTATTTTAAGTTTGGTTTTTTCTTTGCTGTTTAATTTTTTCATTTAAATCTAAATTTACTAAGCGCTGCTGCTTCTGCTCAGTTCTGTGGCTCGTAGCTCGTATCAAGTAGTTAGTAGTATGTAATAAAAAGTTGTTATAATAGGTACTTGTGGGTTAGGCTAGGTATCAATCAGTATTATCATAGTTAATAAAATTATTATTACTCTTGTATATATGTATGCTTTATATAAAAAACACAAGTTGTTGGTTTCCTTTTTGCTCGCAATCTTTGTGGCTTTTACGCTAGATTTATAACGAATGTTTATAAAAGTATTTAATGCTTCGTAAAGCCGAACTCTTCAACGGCTTTTGGTATATGTTTTTTTTTAGTTGTAGTTGTTCTGGGCTAAGCTAAGCAAATATACAAAAGCTACTTAAACGTATAGCATGTACCTGGCGTATGTATATATATTTATATATATATTTTTTTTTGTTTCTAATTGGTTAGTTATTTTAATTTTTATTTTGTCTTGCATTATTCATAGGTATTCTTGTTCCATTCTTCAACATAATAATTAGCTAAGGTTACTTACAAATGTGGCCATCTTAAATTAGGTATCAACTTACGCACGCTCACACATTCACACACATGCACACATTTACACACTCACACACTTAACATGGGCAGTAGTTTATATGGAACAGTGTGCGCATTTTCTTTGCCTATTTTTGTAACAGCGAGCGTCATTTACAAAATATTATTTTACTCAATATATTTGTATTATTTTGTTTTAATTTTTGCGAGTTTAAGGCCGTTGTTGGAATTTGTAGTTTATTTTCTATTTAATTATTTTTTCTTGTCTATTGGAAGGTCTACAATAAAGCGCAGCGACCCGTCCATTATAGGCAGCACACACTGTCACATGTTCATAGTTAACATAAAACTCAAGACACGGCTTGAAAACAAATGTGGTAGCTAAGTTAGCCTTAAAACTAGGCTGACATACAACAGAAATAAATGGTGGAAAAAATGAACAGCATTTAAGCGTTTATGAGTATATAGTAAAAAATCGAACTTCCCCCTAATATTCCCAATAATCATCATATATATATGTATATATATAATACAAAAACATTATCAATATATATTGCCTACAATTAGCTAAACCCATTGCGATCAATGTTAAAGCAAGCGGCTCAACGCGTGGCTGAGCAGCAGGAGCGTGAGATTCGCATAGACGGCGCAACCTTTGCCACACAACTTGATTGCGCTCTCCTGTCAGAGAAAGAGAGCAAGTTTTTAGAATGAAAGTGCTAAAGAGAGAGAGAGAGAGTGACTTACATTTGCATGACGACTGATGCAGCTCTGCGGGCGCACTCGATTGAATTCTCTAGCATGCTTGTAACAAGAGAAGGTCTCATTGGGCGCCAGTGGATAGTTGATGGGCGCCGGATTGACAGTCAGCACGAGGGCGACGTCACGCGGACACAGCTGATCGATGACCAGCAGTATGAGATTGCTGTTGGGTATGGGCAGCACCACAAATGGCCGCTCGCATGCATGCGCTGTCATATTGTAGACAACGTTGTCCTTCTCATTGTAGAGCATGTAGAGCTCGCGCTGCATGTCACATGATTTGAGACGCGTGCGTCGCAGCGTCAGATGGCGCAGCCAGGCGGCATTCTTCGTGTGGCTGTTATCCTCGGGCTCCTGTTCTGTGCCATTCGCATCCATATAGACGTCATTGTAATGGGCCGATATGCCCGGCGCCAATCGCATCAGTTGCACAATATACCACAGCGCCGTATGCAGCAGCCATTTGCTTACGCGCAGCAGATGAAACAGCGGCTGTAGAAGTGAAGAAATTTTAATTATTAAAAAAATGTAATAAAAAGATTTTGGAATGCATTTGAAGTATATAAAAATATCAAAATGTTATTGCATTTGAAAGTATTAAATGAGTAAAAGGCTTATAAGCTGCGCAGTCTAAAGCAAGTTTTTAGTTCTTACATATTGTTTGCGCTTAACTTAACTTCTTTTTAAGCAATAAGCCAAGGCTAATGCTTAGCAAAATGTTGCAATTTTAGCTTTTAGCTTAATTTGTACTAAATTGTTTTCAATTTTGGCAAAGTTTAGCAAACTCAAAACTAAATGTCAACTTTGAGTCAGCTGTTTTAAGGTTGCATAATTAAATAACTTTTTAATGTTGGCTTAAAGTTCATTTGATGACAAGCAGAGCTCAAAAAGATTTAGATTTGGTATGAAAAATAAACAGCAAGTGCAGAGGCAAGTGCAAGCAGAAATTTAAATTGATTCAATTAATTTTCAATATATGTTTTGGACAAAACTTTGCAGTGTTACACTTAGCTGACAGTGAACTTTAACAGGAGAATAGATTTACGTGTTGTTAGGTACAATGCAAAGGGCTCGAAGTCAGTCATTGTTCTAGTGTAAGTTTACTTACAGATAACAGAGTATTGGATGCGTTGACCTCTGTTTTGGACTCGAAGCACACGGCTTGATAGTCATAGACAATGACACGCTTGTATACTCTTTCCTCGACAAGGCGCATCATGATGGCGCCATTGACTTCACCAAAAAATCGACCAGTTTCGTGAACGCGCGACGAGATGATCACGAAGCCATTGTTATCGAGTATATAGCAGTCCTTATCATCGACAGCACATGCCTAAAGCAAATATTAATGTAATTATTCGATATCATCTTGAATTCTAGAGTATATACATTGCCGGTGATATTGTGAAACAGCTTGTAGAAAGCAGAGTGTTGAAATTGAAATCCAACCACTGCTGCGGGCGCTGACTTGGAGCTCTCATTGTGAAAAATGGCATTGCTGGCAGTTACAATAATTTCCGAGCCAGTTTCTGCAAGTAAGAGAAATGCAGATAATTGGAACAGACTATTGGGATGATAATTTTGTCAAGCTTACCTCCGGCATCGTATGGCACCGAGTAGACAAAACTTTCCTTATGCACAAAATATTGGTCCACAGCGCGCTTATACCAGATCTCATCGATAGCGCGTTTATTGTTCTGACTAAAGCTCTCGCTGTAAGCAAACGAGGCGTATATATAGAGGTACTACTGTAACGCAACTTTTACTTACCCCACGCTCGGCTGCTCAGCCATGTTCGAGTGGAACTCGTGCCAGCGGGTTAGACCACTGTGCGTGGCCAAAAAGGCGATGGTGATGCCAAAACGTTGCTTGAATTCGTGTCTGTAGGAACAGAAATCGACATATTAGAGACAATTCCATAGAAGATCGCTGACTATAACAACATGATAATTAGTATGATACATATAAATATATATAAATAAGTAAGTTTAGACGAGTTTTTCTGTTTACCTTGGCAGCAAACCCATTAGTACGGCTATTGGGCTTGATGCGCTAACGCTAGAGAGGGTATTTGTATTGTATTTTCGATTTAGACGTTATGAAAGGCATTATGTTATGTTGTGGTACAAGAGTTCAAGAGTTCATAGATTGCAGTATTCATTTGTGGGTGCAAAAAATTCATTATGGAATAGACAAACGACAACAACAACAACGATACACACAAAAGTTTCGGCATAAAATGCAAATAAAAGTGAGAAAAAAGAAAGGCGTACACAGAAATTATAATGGTTAATATGTGCTGCCTTTAGCTGGTTGAGGATAGTTGTTGACTGTACTTGATGTGTGAAAAACAAGTCAAGTCTGGTTCGCTCAGCAACCAATTGCCACTTACCTCTTCTCCTCCTTATCGCGAGCATTGAAGCTCGTATTGTTCGAGAACCATTTCGTGACGCGCGCATCAAAGACAAGGGATTGCATGAGCTGGCGATCGCCTGTAAGCAGAAAAAGTCAAGCGTTAGCCCATCGATATGGATAAAAACAAGCGAAGCAGCGTCGCAACCGTTTTCGGTAGCTTCCTCTTCTTGAAATCTGTTACGCTCTCAGCTTGTTTGGATCAACTTAGTTACATACAAAGATTTCTTTAAACAACGAAATCAAATTGAAAATCAAAAGTTTTTCTCATGCATTTTCATTTGGCTTTCGTGATATTTTGTGCAAATTCCGCAGCTAACTGGTGGCAACACATACAAGTAAAGGTACATAGAGCTTATATTAAGACAAACTGAAATCATAAGTCAAGACTACATTTATAAGGCATATCCGATTTTCTATTTTTTGTTGCATATGTTGATTTGTGGCACGAGTCTGCGCCAAAAATGTGAACGAAATGGTGGTGCAGGTGCAAAGTGCTTAGCTCAAAAGTTAATATCAGTGCACTCGGTGATTGTGGGCAGAGAGGGGAAGAGGTTGGTAGACGTTTCTTGGATGTTACAACTTGACTTGGCTGTATGGCATTCGTTACTCACAATAGTAGCTTTCTTTTTCATTGATTGATGGATAGCGGCCAGTTGATGAGTTGTTAGCTGTGAATTTGCATGATTATTGAAATCGTAATCGAAATTTGCAGTTTTCTTGGTATTATTTTCATTTTTCATTTTTCTTTTCGAGCATAAGTTAGTAAACGAAACATCGAACACAGTAAGCAAAAACTTAGTTTAAAAGCGTCAACAGCGGCTTTTTTTTTGATTATTTCAAAGCGTTTTCGGTAACAAAAAAATAATGTACAAGGAAATATGGTCCGTCGGTTTCTACTTACAAAAAATGGCTGCCGCATGCTCCGGGGGCAACGCGCTTCGACTTGATGGCCAATGCCAACCGGGCTCAGACATTCGATCAACAAAATACAAAAGCTCTGTTTCGGGCGTTCTGAATGTCTTGTTGGTTTGCTTGCAAAACAGCCTAAGTAAAGGGAAAGAGTGTAAGTATACCTAAATATTATTTACACTATTTGATCGCGCTTACCAATCGGGATGAATTTTCCAGCGTTTGCCATCAAAGAAGCTGCGTATATTCTTGCCCGTTATATAGGTGCGATGTATGTCTTGTTCGGTGCGTGGTTCCACGCGACTCACACCATAACGCTCCGGATAGGTGATAACGAGCGTAAAGGGCGTATTCTTTATAGCAGTCCAGTAATACTGGCGCTTGACGCGAGCCACACGTTTCTGTAAATCAAGTGATATCACAATAAAATTGCTGGCTATAGAGTTTTGATAGACTAACCATTTCGTCGAAATGATTTTTGACCAACATCCATTTGCTGCCAGTCGATTGATTGATTATAGAATCGCGTATCTAAGAGAGAGTAGAGTAATAATTATTTAATATATAATTGTTTAAGGACTTTTTCGTTGCCTACCGTCATCAGCACTGGATTAAAGTCTCTGGCGGCTCGATCGTCATCCAATAGCTCAACTTCAATCATGTCAACGCTATTGTAAGCTGGCTTTAATATATAACCTTGGAACTGCTCAGTAAAACATTAAATGTAAAGTGTTAGCAAGCGTTAATATGTTAAGAATTTACTATTTTGCACTCACAATTGGACGAAAATCTGGATGGAATAGTACATAACCATTATTGGTTACTATAAACGCATAACCATTCACGCCAAGCTGCAGAGATATTATTTGAAAATGTGTTATTTGAGACGTTTTCGAATACTAAAAACTTACCATAAACGGCGATAGCAGCTTTTTTATTTCACTGATGGGCACATCGGTGCCAGCCACGCCCAATATATTTGCGATTCTTGTCTGTGCGTGGGCAAAAATTGTTGAGTAAATTTAACAAAATGTTTTTAAAAGGGTTGTGAATCGAAACATTTACATTTGGACTTTTAAATGTAGTTTTGGTATTTTTTGTTTTGTTTTTTGTTTTTTTTTTTTTTTTTTTTTAGCGCAAATACAAGTACAAGTACAGAGAATTTTTATTAATTGTTTGCATGTTAATCAAATACGGAAAATGAATTGAATTTGAAGTTGATAAATGGCATTGCTAGTACAAAACGAAATTTGGATTTGGCTTACACGTTATGAAAATTTCAAAAGAAAAAACAACAAAAAAAGTATTGAAAATCGAAAATTAAGTCAAGAAATGTTTATGCAAATACATATGGAAAGCATTTGTTTTTACTACGCAAGAAACTTACGAATACAGTTAAGAGAGTTGTTTTTTTTTTTAAGATTTTTCAAATGGCATTATTATTAATAAATTTTGATTGATGTTTACAATTACAAATAGTTTTAGAGAATTTTAAATTGTTTTAGTTTTGCAGAGCGTTAGGCTAATTACATGGCTAGCAGAGTAGTACTAAGAGCGTATGAGAGCGTACAGTGGTTGTGTAAACCGAAATAACGCAATGTTAAAATAAGTTTAAAACAACATGAGAAACAAATGAGAAAATTCATTTTTAGCAAAATTTTATTTAAGACGCTTTAGCAAAGAAGAAGAAGAAGAATGAAAGAGCAATTTACAAATTTGTATTTTGATTGAAAATCGAACTTAAAACAATGAAAAAGCTGTTTACAAAGTGTGTTTGAGATGGGGCGGGGGGCGGGGACGGGTTTAGTTTATCACAAGATGGAAGTGAACTTGACGCACTTGGAGGAGTACAAGTTTTAATTGAGGTTTATATGTGTGTTTCATGTAGTTCTTGTTGTGTGTGTGTGTGCGTGTTTTTTTCATACAGTTTTTATACCCTTCACACAGTTACATTGAGTGAGTGCTTGTGGAAATACCATGTTAGCGCGTCTGCTTAGTGGAAGCAATTGCATTTAGTCAGTGGAAACACAGTGTAAATTGATTGAGATGATGGAAACACTGTGCGAGGGCAACGCAGCAGTGGAAACACAATGGAAGCAAGTTGAGAATTGTTATCAATAGAGTCATTTATTGTTCTGTGTGGTACGCAGTTTAAAAAGTGAACCATTTCGAGTACTTGGAAGATTGTGGAGTGAGTGTTTACCAGTTGCAGCTAGATTGCAGTTCAGCTAGACAGTTAGTAGAGTTTGGTTGCAGTTGCAGTTGCCTAGGAAATTGATCGAGTGCCCGTTAACAGCAATTAGGAAAAGCTTTACATATAGAGAACTTAGCCTAAGAATACGACTAAAAATAAACATGAATTTTTCAAATCAAGCATTGGAAGCTAAAAGGAATGTTGCAAGGAAAGCGTAAAATAATAAGTGAAAGGAGGCTGGACATATGGGCGTGGTGTACAAAAGAAAATCGTAGTTGGTGCTCAATTCGAAAGCAAAATGTGTTTTTTTTTTTCATCAGGAATAAAAACAAAAAGGACATGCGGCACAGACGTTAATCGAAATTAAGGTTAAAGGTAATTTGAAAAATGTTTGCAGTTTTAAACATATTTAGTAATATTTGTTGTCATCTTTTTTGCTTTTTTTTTGAGTTGTTGCTTAAATTTAGAAACAATTTACTCACAACTTGGAGGTTTATTTTCGCAGCCGGATTTATATCGGTCGTTAGATTAATGAGCTGTGAATTTGTATTGGTAGATTATAATAAATAAATAAATAACTGTCTAGAAACGAAAGCAAAACTTAAATATGTCGGGTGTACACACCTAGGGAGCGCAGCTGGGATCAATATAAATACTGGGTGTCGTGGGGTGTATTCAACTAAGCTGGAACTAAGTTGTGCCTGCCTAACAATTGCCGTCCTTTGGGCTGGTTCTTATGAAGGGTATAAAAACTTAATCAATCGATGCCTTATTGCGATTTGTGTTTCTAGTTGTATGTTTATCGGTAATTGTTTCTGTTGATGTTGTTTGTTTGTTGTTTGTTTGTTTGTTTGTTTGTTGTTGATTCATGTGCTCTATAGGGCCTCAGCACTAGCCTAAGATTTCTTTCAATTGATTGTACTTACTAAACATCAATGAATACGGCATCTAACATTGATTGGGATATCTATTCGGGAGTATTGAACCAATTCAACTATATACGAGTACTTTATATGTATTTGGGCTCTAGGCCTTCAGCGGCTTTCAACCGATTTGTAGTTTGTAGTTGCTTTGTTTTATTTTTTTTGGTCTTACGTAAAACAACAAATGTTAAATTGTACTACTCAAAATGCTAGATAAAATGTTCTATATATATTTAATTTACGATTACGTTAAGTAAGTAACTAGGCATAGCTATATGGTAATTATGTTACGTTTACGAATATATATAACGAAAATTTGATATGCTATTGTATATAATTACGTGGTATATCATTTCAATACTTTACCAATCGAATTGCAATTTTTTTTTTTAATTTTTTTTAATTATATTATGGTTTTTTGTTTGATTTTGTATATATACATATGTAGTATATATATAAATAGATATATGCATATATGTATATACCTATATGTATATATGTATTTTGATAGTACCTAGTACGAGTAGGTGGTCAACTATAATGGCAAAAAATTTGCTAATAAAATAGTATGGTCCTAGACCATATTAGCTAGAGTTATATACGAGTAGGTATAGTTAGTTATATAAGTTATATCGATTAAATATGGAGTAGGTATGCATGTTATGTAGCGCAAAGTATAACAAATTGTTTACTTTAGTCATATAATAAGTATATTGATATACATATTTGGATAATATATATTATATACTTGAATAATATAATTATATATATTGAATTCAATACGATATATGCGATTAATTGGCGTATATAAAACTTTTCGCTTAAAGAGCAGCAAATACTTTTTGTTTACTCAAATATCAAATTTGAATTTGAAATTTTGTAGTTTTTTGTTAGAATTTGGCATTATAGTTTGTACCTCACGTGTTTGCAATTCCCAGAGTGCTTCATTTATTAAAACTTCTTCGGTGATATTCTGTGGTATAGTTGTGTATAGTTTTGGTAGTAGTAGTAGTAGTAGTAGGTAGTTGTGTGTTATAATTATATATAACGCATAAAATATTAATATAGTAGTAGTAGTAGTATATAGTGAGTTGTTATATAGATAGATTATGGGTTTTGGTTTTGGGGACTGGTTTGCTTTTGTTTCTCTTTTCTTATCTTATATATATATTTATCGATAGCTAAAGAGCTATATATATATATTGCTTATTGATAGCTTCGATGATGAGAAAGAGAGATAGACACAGAGAGAGAGAGAGAGAGAGAGAGCATAATGATCGCGACATTATCTGCGGTGCGACGTCGATATGTCTTTTGTTCAGATTTGGCTAAAAATTTTTGGCAGTGCTAACGGTTGATATTTGATTTTGATTTTGATTTCGCTCGCGCTCGGCACTAACATCTTTATAGGCTTGACTTACCGCATTTTCACGACGATCATAAATGGGCATGGACACGGTGGTCATAAATTGGTAGACATTGGAGTCTACTGGTTGGTTCCAGGTCTGCAAAATATATATAAATGAGGTGGTTAGATTGCAATAATATTTGAATACGCAAAAGGTTCACCTCCTTCATGCGTCGATATTCACGCCTGTGCATTTCGGCGGGCTCCAACATGCGATCGTGTACCTTCCAGTATTCCAGAACATCAGCCTTCTGCTCCTCGCACTGCTTAATATCCCACAGATAGTCGGAAAGTTTGGTATCCTAGATAGCATTAAACGGTTGAAGGCTTTTCGATTTTTGGATTTTGTTTGGTAAGTGGCCCTAGGCTATTACCCACCTCGAGGTCCGCATAGACCTGCGTCCATATGACCGGATGATCATGCCTACCCAATACCAGAGGTCTAGCCATAACTGGTATATAATTTAATACCATTTCACGCACCTCAGCTGTATCGCTGAGATGCACATAATAGCCCTGATTCTCGCATGCCATCCACCGTATATCATCCCAATTCGCCACCTCTTTGCCAATCAGATAGGTGAACACACGCACCGGCCTATAGGGCGGGTCGCGCCAATTGTGCAATTGGAAGACCTCTTGATTATTTTCGGGTGCCCCATCCCCAATGATCATAATCGCCTGATTGCATTGCGCGCCGCGCGAATTAATCTTCGTCTCTTCCAATATCTCGAAGGCCCTTGTCAATGCAGCGGTATAATTGGCAATCGATTTGGGTTTAAACGATTCAATCCCTTCTTTTAGTTCACGTATGTTGCCCAGATTTGCCTGGATGAATTTCGAAGTTTTGGGTAAAACGAATTCGGTTTGGTTTTGTATTTGAATGGGATTGTTGTGTTTGAAGCCGCATTGATTGTGTATAGTTTGAATAATTTTGTGGGATAAAGAAAAATCAGATTGCAAATTGAAAATCATATTGAAAATTCAAAATTCGATCAAATGAGGACAAAACAAGATATGCAAATAAAAGATATATATACTTGAATCAGTGTATCCTCGAAACATCCGACAACTGGGCTCACTTCCTTATCAAAGGTGAAGATGTTCACAAAGTCATTTGTACCTAATGTATCGAGTATAGTATTGACAACATGCTTTGCGATATCTAGCCTCTGTCCCAACATTGAACCAGATCCATCCATTAGGATAATAATATCCTTTGGACTTGTCGCCGCCTCCATGTACCAAGAGCGTAAACGGCAATCGTATAGATCAACCGGTACGTCCTTCTTCCATTTCGATGCAGGGAATTGACGCATAAAGCCTGTCGAACTGCCAAAAAATTGCCACGACAAACTTGGATCGTTTTTATAATTATCACGAAATATCTGATCCAAATTCTCCGACCATTGAATCGCTTTTATAACATCCGATGCTGTGGTATGTGTGTTTAGTGTTTTGTATTCGAAGACGTATTCATGTTCGTGTCAATGTATTCGATTGTGTGTTTGCCGATGATTGTCGTTATTATTATTATTGTTGTTGGTTTTTTTTTAGTTTGGCAAAGAAACGGGAAGAATTTTTAATACAGAAATTGATTAGTTTTTCTTGTTGGGGATTCGAAGACCTAAGAATAAATCTCTCTGATACTTTTTTTTCTGAATTTGTGAGGCGTTTCATAACATAGCACAAGGCAGTGCAGGCGCAGGTGTATGTGCTTGTGTTGTTGTGTGTGTGTGTGTGTGTGATGTTTTTGTTGTGTGCTTTGTTGGCTTGGTCGTGGGCGTATTGCACGTAGGTGTTAAAGTGGCTTAGTTGGGTGTTGTACGGTTTTTGGCAAAGCATTCCGCGTGTCGGCAATAAACATTCACAGCGCCACGCACGCGTCCCCAGCAACAATTCGCAACGCAGCATTCGCGATGCAGGCAGCGGTAAACTTTCGTTTTCTTAGAGATGAACGCGTTTATAATCTTAAGAGAATTCTTAACCTCATGAAGAATTGCAATCCAATGAATAACCACTTAAGAAGAAAGTTTTACTCTGAATCAATTTTTGGACTATTATTATATTGACGTGCTATCTAGAGCATTGAGCTCCTAACTGAATTTTTCACTATTTTTATTTGAAATGTTTCTGTTAAATATATAAATTGATTTCCTTAAACTTTATCTAAGTCTTTTTTATGTAAGACTTAATATTTTTTCCCCTTAACTTGAAGCCTTTTATAATCAACTCTCGTACTAGTACAGTCACTACAAAATGCAACGCGCTCATATCTAAGCTATCGGCCATTAGGTACAGTTGTGTGCGCAGAATGCGGCGATGCGTTGCTTGCGTGGGCGCGCGTGCGCTTTTTTGCGGCGCGCATTGACTTAAGCGGTTGGAAATTGAAAAAGAAAAAGAAGGCGCAATATACGAGAAATGTTAACGGTTAAACGGTTAATCGGTTAACTATGAACGGTAACTAATTAGCATACAGCATACGAGCGAGACAAACAGACTTAGTGCTACGTTTTAGACAGCTAAAACAGAGACAGTTACAGAGACGCAGTGTGTTGTTGGCATTGTGTGTGCTCGAGTGTTGAAGCTTTTACATACGACACGCAGTGTGCTTAACAAAGACAGCAACGGTTACAGTTACAATTACAATTACAGGTGTAAAGAGAGATACATATAGAGAGAGACAGAGATAGTTGGAGAAAGAAACAGAGAGAGAGAGCGTAGAGAAGAGAGCGATAGCTGTTATGATTTTAAGCACAGTTCAAACCTCGATCGAACACATTCACCGGCACATGCACCGAACTGACGCTGAAATTGACCGGAGTATTGTGGAATTCCGGCCTTGGCTCCAGCACTAACACTTTGGGTGGCACATAGATCAGCGGCTCGCCAATCTGATCGTCCATATCCGGCGGTGTCGTGGGTGGTGGTGGTGTCGGTTCGCCCGGCTCCGCCATCGATTTGGCATTGTAGTACGAGAACATTTTGTCTGCCATATCATTTTGATGTGACAGCGCTGTATTCTCAGCGGTATCCATAATGCGCTAAAATTGTAGCAGTGGAAATACATATATAAATTAAGTATCTATAATTATTACTCTAATGACAAAAAATTACTTACACGCACGGCGCTGACTTTCAGATCCATCATCATTTCGATTTCTTTCGCCATGGACTCGACAATTACGCCACCTTGACGCGTCACCACTTTGGCTTCCTTAAAACTCTGTAAATTATTGGAGATCGTTTTTAGAATAATGGCATAAATAAGAGCATTTAATGGTCGAATTCATAATTAATTAATTATAGGTTACAATTTGAAAAAGTATGTGCAGAAGCTATAAATATATTTTTATTTGAATCTAAAGTATATAGATTATTTTTCGTTATATATCGATTATATATATGAAGTATATTATTTTATATTATCATTATATTTAGTATAGTATAAAGAGAATTATAGTAAAATTTGACACTTCCATTACTACAGTCTGGCTGACTTTTCAACTTGTATGAAGGTTCAACAACGCAGGCTTCATTAGGAAAACGCATATTCCGTGTTAACTTCGTTAAATATCGATTTTCAATACTCTAAAAGTAAACGTATTTGCGCTACTGAAAGACTTATAAATAGTATATTTTTTCGGATAGCAATCCAACTTATCAGATATATTTCCTTCCAAACTATAACATCGATATTTAATAGTTTAATATATATTTTATTTAATACTTAAAGTATTTGCTCTATTCAATGAGCTATTAATATTAAATGTGGTAATACGAATCATGTATTTTGCGATAAAAAGAATGAAGATAGAAAGATTTGTTTGAATATTTTCCAGGTTCTTTAAGAAATAAAACTAAAGTGTACCCCTCAACTATGCTTTATAATTTAAATATCTACCATTTCAAACATATATACTTTATATTTGTTAGTTTATTATTTCAAGTTTTCTTTTCATTTCTATTTTCTCTTCTTCATTCAACAATATTTATTTTTGCCTAAAGAGCTATTGACAACAATAATCTCGTATAATTACGTGGAATTATTTTCGCTAAATGAATCCATAGAAAATTGGTTTTAAGCCATGGCTAAGACCTATTGGTCTGCGAACTAGAAAATGCTCAAATTCCTTTATGCAAGTACTTCCGCCTATATGCCACACGCCACATGTCGCAGTAGGCGTAACGCCTGCAAAGCAATTCCATTTAGAAAATCTAATTGCGCTGACTAAAAATAAATTACACAGCTGTCCTACGCAGCAGCTACTGACCTCATAAAAGAGACAACAACTAGGTGTCCAGCAGGGAGGTGGGGGGAAGTTGTTTAAAAGGGCAGCTTGTTGTCATTGTTGTTGTTGTCAGACATGCCGCGTGCTTCAAACATTTTGTATATATAATTGCCTATTCAGGCAGCCTTTAACCCAAATATGACGTCGCTGCTGCAGTCGCAGTCGCAGCCGCGGTCGACGCTGTCGTCGACGTCACTGTTGGCGTCGCAGTCGCCAAACGTCAACAACAAACAATGGGAGGGAGCATCAGTGGGAAAAATCAATAGGGCGACTCACCTCTTGCACCTCCTTGCGCCTGGTGATAAAATCGCCCAGAGAAAACAGCTCCAAGCCCAGCTTGTCCGCCCAGGAGTGCACACTATAGTTAATATACATGCATAGATCGGAATTAATGATATTGCTCTCAGATCCTGAGTGCGGTTGTGTGGGCACTCACAGATTGTAGTTGATTTTATCGCCATTCGCTGTGGGCGCACTGTGGATGAACACAAACAGAAGGCTCAGGCAGAGGCGCCGCCAGGCCCAAAATGGTCTCGCCATATTGATGTACTGGCTGCTCTGATCTGGGCCGCGACATATATACGAACGAGCTTAATTTAATTGTAGCCCAATTTGCTGCACTCTATCACAAACACACACACACTTGCACATGCCATCGGGTTTGCTCCGCCTGTTTGGCCTGCCTTGCTGCCTAGCCTTAACGGCCATGAAGCAACATTTTCGCGAGCAAATTTTTCACAAAGTTTTCACTCACGTTTTGCACATTTTATACAATTTTCAATAATATTTTAGAATTTTTCTCAGCTCGTGCACGTTTTTCGCTTGTGTTTTGCGCGTGTGAAAATTCTGATGGACTGTAGAAAAAACTTTTCTCTGTATACTGCCGTTAGCTGGTTGACGTTTCGCTGACATTTCTGTGTCAGCGATGAGTTCATCGCCTGGTTTGCGGGAGCGCGAGCGAGACAACAGTATGAGCAGCAATTTTGACGTACGCTGTGCCGCTCACACTGTGTCCTGCGCCTGCGTTGACATTTGACACGCCTGCGCGTTCACTTTGTTTACATCAGTCGAGGCTCCACAGGTGTTTGTTTACCTGCTCGTGCATCTGCGCACTGGCTTTGTTGACGTTTCTCAGCTGTTTGAGCTCTGACAGCTGAGCGCCAACTGTTGCTTCTGCTGACACCGTTTGACAGTTGAGCTCAATGCGAGGGCTGCAAATCTGGCTAAGAAAAGCTTTTGTACGAAACGTAGAGCTTTTAGCATAGCTCCCTTTGCTTTGCACTGGCTTCTTTTTGTGGCTCATAATAGACGGCAGATGCCGCTTTATGAACGTGTTCTATTGTTACCAAAGGCGCATCTCTCGTATCTCAATTGCTTAACTATTATTGTAATTGAAGTTAAAGATTAAGGAGCTCTAAATACATTTTTCTGTCTATAGAGGTTTAACCAGTGGGTGTTCAATTTGTCTGGTTTTTGTCTGGCTTACGTGGCGTATGGGCAACATGTGTTCAGCTCATAATTATGTAGTTCTAGTTGTTTGCGGTTGATAGAATTTTAGGTATACAACTAGGGCATTATAAAACAATAATAATTATAAAAAAACTAAACCAAGCTGTGAGTTTGGAACACTTTAATGTAGCTAGCCAAAAGTCTTATAGTTTTATGCTTAGTAAATTTAGTGTCCCATAATTTTTTTTTCTTTTTTTATTAAGATAAGAGTAAGAAACTGAGTTTTATAAAAAATTTATCAATAATTTTTATTGTTATAGCATAAAGTTTAGACATTTGTTATGGAATTCACAACAAGATAATGACGACAGACATAACTCAAAACGCGATACGGACCGAGCTCTGCTCCCTCTTTCTTTCTAGTATTTGTAGCCACCGGCACCACCGCCGCCGCCACCACCACGTCCGCCTGCTGCTGGTCCCTGTGGGAACTGAGCCTCACCCTCATAGCTGACGTCCGCATGGTAGCCAGTCTTCCAGTCGGCCGTGTAGCGTACCACCTGAGTGCGTCCGTCGGGTAGCTGGACGCGATACTCGCCAGTCACCACATCGCCGTCGCTGGAAGCCTTGTGCGCGTAGTCGTTGGCTGTGTCTGGATCCTGGACAGCATACTCGAAGTCGAATGGCATGCCGGGCATATGTACATGATCCTGTTTGTGCAAAATTAAAGATTAGTCGGCCGGTAGATATTGTGGGAGCTGAGCAACTAAATATACTTACATCGCCGGGTTGACCGGGAATGGGGCGTGTAGGAGATGGTGCAGGACGTGAACCACCGTTTCGACCGGGCTGAGCGGGTTGCTATAAGTGTGGATAATATTAGCTTAAGATGTTTGACAGTTAGTGTAAGTCACTAATTCTCAAAATGTTCACTTCCAAAGGTGAGAGTAACTACTTTCATTGTGGAATTTTAATAAATGAACTTTCATTCGCTTAAGTTGACTTGCAATTGCAACTTGGCCAAAAGCTTAGTCAATATGATTGCCGTAAAGGGTTAACTCATTCCTGACTCTGGCCAAGATGTGTTTTGATACGCCTGTGATTTTGCCACTCTGCCGCAACCCGCAACCTCTGTCAGTTGACAAATGCAACATCATTCAGGTCGACATTCAAATTGAAAAGTCTATTCCCATCTCTGTCGCAGTCAAAGGTGATGCCGGCTGCATGACGCTGAACATTTATAGAGTAAAGTGTTGATGGCCTATGAATGCATCGAGTCTTGGGCTTGACTGATGATTGCGCCGACAGACAGACAGATGGACCGAGGGACAGCCGGACTGGACTGGCTGTTGGTTAAGCGGCATAAAAGCCAGACACCAGGTTAAAAGTCGAGTGAAGGGCCCGAGTGAAAATTATGGCCATAATTAGCCATTGGCTTTAATTCAGTTTGCGGCACTTCAGCTGGATTTTTGCGGCTATTGATGGCTGTATGTCGCTGGCATACTCACGAATGGTTTATTAGGCTCCGGGTAGTCATAGCCGTTCTTGGTGGGCGGCAAGTACGCGTTCGAGCCGGGCGCTATCTGGGCGTAAGCGTAGGCGGCGATGGCAGCAAGTGATAAGCTCTGCAAAAAAAGAGTAAATAAACCAAATGAAATGTGGTAAAGCAAACAAAAAATCTTGGCATTTATAGGCATTCAAGTAGAAGCGCTAAAAAAGGTTAAATTAGAAACACAAAAGAGAAAAAAAGACAAAGTGAGCGGCAAACAAAAATAGAAGCTGCGATAAGATCGCGCCTGACATTCAACCGAAGCTCTAGCAGTCTTGCTCTTGCTCTGGGGCAGGTGCAACCGTTGCTAAACCGAAGCAAATGCTATTGCAATTGACTCGTATTTAGAATGCGGTCCACTCGAAAGGGCAACAAATGGCGGAGGTTAGAAGCTGACAATTAAGGCGGATCCACAGATTTATGGTTGCAGCTAACTGAAAACGTCAACCAACTCATCTGTTTTTTTGCTTTTACATTTTTTCTCGGCCCCCAAACATGGCTAATTGACACATGCAACGCAGCCTGCCACAGCCATCCATCAAGCTGGCTAAGCTCAGCCAGCTCCAGAGCTCAGAAGCCAGCTGCTGTTGGCCTCTTGTCAGCTGCCTGTCGGTCTTTCAATTAGCATTTGCTAACTGCAGCTTCGGCTGCGGATTGCGGAAATGTTTGTAACTGCAACGTCTCTGTACTATAATATACACATATATAAAATGTATTCTATGTTAAATAATACAAATATGCTTAGCTATTGATCATTGTGTCGGGGCAGCGCTTAGCCATGGTCAATGCCAAAGTCAACGGCAAACTGCTTTAAATTGTTCGCTCATCTATAAATTGCGCATAAGACGCGTGCACAGGTGCGAACAGTCTAAAACACTTTGAAATGTAATTAATATATTTATATGTAGTATTTAGCAATTTTTATTTATTATTTATTTGCATATTTAATTCATTTAACATGTCTTTATATCTACCTATCTGATGCTAAAAGTCTTTATCTTTCCAAGTACTTGCAAGGAGTATAATGATTTAATCAAGAAGTATGTAACGTATCGAAGTAGTTATATCCAAAAAATATTAAGTATATATTATTACTTTAAGAAACTGAAGTATGAAGACTTTTTCAAATTAATAATAAAAACATGATATATATATTAAAGCCATTTTCGTTCAAAAATAAATACATACAAATTAAATAAAAAAAAAAAAAAAATTAGCAAGAGGACTCTATTGAAAGAGTACTAAAAGTGTTAAGTAAATTAAAATATAAATATAATAAATAAAATATAATGAAAAATAAAAATATATTTTATCAGTTTTCTGTCTATAAGGAATATCAATTAAAATTTTAAGGTATTCAAATTGTCTTTTATGTTGAGAAATACGTTTAAGCATTGTATTTCAACAAATTTGAGATAACAATTAATTTTCAATTACTATTGTGCTTTTAATTGATTCAAATGGTTTGTTTAATTCATGCTTGTTTCATTTAATAAACTAACTAAATTAGCTCAATTACTCGCAACAGGCGCTCAGTGGGTGGTCCCAACCTTCAAGGAGCCCAAGTTAAAGGCAATAAGCATGTCAACGGCAATTTTTGCATGTTAAACAAATGCAATTACCGTTAACGAAAAAACGAAAAAAAAACGATAGAAAACTTAAGAAAACTAAATTAAATAAAAGGCAAAGTCAAAGAGCGGCCAACAAATTGCCGCAACAGCCGACGACAGTTCGAATGTCGAACGACAAACGATAAAGATATACCAAAGAGATTGAGATAGATAAAGCCTTGCATTTAACTGCATACCCAACAGCAACAATAAGAAGAAGACCAGCAACAATAGAGATAGACACAGCAACAGCAACAGCAACAGCTGTAAATCGAGTTAAGTCTTCGTCTTTGCTGTGACTTGGTCTTCTACAAAGCAGCTGTTGGAGAATTGAATCAGCGTTGTTGTTAATAGTACAGTGGTACAAGAGTTGCTACAACGAGTAAGTTTGTCAGAATATGTAAAATGGAGATAAGAAATTTTATTATTGAAAAAGCATTACAAACTTCTGAGGCTTGACAATTAAAATTAATTTATTAAATATGCTTGATTATAAAAAAATAAGTGGCAGCTTCATTTTATAACTTTGTATCACCCCTGTTCACCATGAGCAGCTCTGCTTTGGGTTTTTGGTCTTAGCTAAATTCTGTTCACAGCTCCAATTATGCCTGGTTGAAGGTTCTTAATGGTCTGCGGTCTGGCTGTGGCATGATTTGTGGTGTTCGCACACCTTGACGCTTAGTTTTTTGCAGCTTGAGACATTGATCTTGCGATCACATATTTTGTATATGCATATACACATAAGTATATGCTAAAAACCTTATGTATAAGTCATTAAAGCACGAGCCGGCTCGCATTGAAATATCATTAATCGCGCATAATCTAATAAATAGCAATTGTTCGCTTTGTGCGGCATTAAACGTGCATTATTTTTTTTATGTTTGGATATTTTATATTGAATTTATCTTTTTTTGCCGCATGCTGAGTTGTTAATTACATTTATAAGCCTTTTGATTATAAATATTAAATATATTGAATGAAATCAACAAGTATTTTGTTAAACAATTCCATTATTAATCAGCCCAATCAGCGGAAGTAAACTTGGTCAGCACATTGTTTCCAGCCGAAAAGCAACAAAAAAATGCTATATAAAGCCTGAATTTATCTTCAATTCCCGCAACTCTCGTGTTGCATGTCGCACACGCCCACTTTGTCAGCCGCGCGTCAAGTTGAAGGTTGAGCGGCAACGAAAAATAAATTAAAAAAAAAAACGAGCAGAAATTAATTACAGGTAGGCAGTGGTGGGTGAGACACGTTCGATGCCTCTGCCACTTGCTGATTTTGATTCTATTGCCATTTCGGGGCAATTAACACAGACACAGCGAAAAGACACGAGTTTGAACTTGACGTGAATTCGCGGCTGGCGCTCCAAATTATATGGTCTGTAAAATTATAGCATAAGCACCTGATAATTTAGGCGGTAATATGGAATGGAAAAATGCCTTTTGCTAATATACAATTGACTGTTAGACCAAAAATTGTTAATCGTAATTTAAGAACTTATTTATGGGCATGTTAATCAACAGAAGAAACTAAAAGCATTATTTTAGTTAACTAATGATTATTAAATAAGAGCATAATTTATTTTAAAGTTTTAATGTTTTGCTTTTAGTAATTATGTAGCTATTTACTTTGAAATCCTATTATTTCCCAATTGGCAAGCTAACTTCCATGCTTTTTGATTCAATCAATTAGACAATAAGTCGATTCATCAGTTAGAAGAAATTAATTTATAAATATTATTTATTTTTATTTCATATATATTGTTAAAAATAAGTAAATAAATTATCAAAAAATAAGTTAACTGTGTTTGATTTATTTTAAAATGATTCGGATACATTATATGTTATTTGAGAACATTTGTATAATAATTAATTATCAAAGAGAATTATATGAAAAATCTATAATTATAATTATATACTGTAATTTGTATTCATGAAGTTATTGTGAATTGTATTATTTATGTTATACTATTTTTTTAAGTAAATAGCCAAAGATTAACTCACATCATAATTTGTAATAATCTGAGTCAAGACAAAGTCAGTTTCTTGTTATTTAAGGTATTAAGACTTTTTGCTTGGTATTTGAGAGCATTTTCGCAGACATTTAAAAGTCTTCTACAATAAAATAAGAAGAAAAACCAATTTAGAATATCATAAAAAGCTTTGGATTCACGCTGAGATGATCACGAGTCTATGCGAACATGGCTTGAGAATCTGCACATTTGTCTCGCTTCGTCTGCACACTTGATCACGACCTAGTTTAAAGCGCGCCATCAAATTACCTAACTGAACTAAAGAAGTATGAAAGATAAATAATAAAAACACAAATACATATATGACAATTGCATATTGCGGCTAAATGGCAAGCACGGCTGGCAAATTGATTTATGAGCGGTTAACATTTAATACAAGTAGTATATATGGTTTACGGATTTATGGAGGCAATAAAATTGTTTGCACTTAAATGTCTTCATAAAGCGTTTAGCTGGGTTCCAAGGAGCATTTAAAATAATTAATTTAATTGGCCAAACGTCTCTCGAACACATTCACATTCGATTGCATCTCATGACATTTGCCAGGCAGCATTTGTTTTTTGCTATCTCGAAGCTTTTACTCGGACTGCCTTTGAACTGTGTTGTGAACTATTATGAACTGTTATTAAGTCATCAGCAGCTAAAGTTGCAAGCACTTGCCTTCATTTTAAGCGGCACCCTAGACAACATTCTGCAACGCCTACACAGATCTAACCAAGGCGATGACGATGGCGATGGCGGCTTCGATGGCGATGACGATGACATGGCGTGCCTAACGAGGCAAGCTCTTAACCAGGCTGCCTCTCTTTTTTATTCTTCTATAAATATGTAGATGCATGCGGTTTTTTTGCAACTTGTTGTTGTAAATTTATGGAATTCGCAACGTTCCCAGCAATTAAGCAGAGTTAACAAAGTTTGTTTTTGGAGCGAGAAGAAAAAGAAACGTAAAAACGTAAAACTCCTCTACATTGATGTGAGATAGCGCATTAGCATTAGTGCAACAGCTGCCACATACACTTGCAACTAGCAACTTGCAACATGCACGACAACACCACGCTAGCTAGCTCAGTAGAACAACAAACATTTGGCTGACCTTTTCATCGTTTGTTGCATGTTGCAGAGTTTTTTTTGTCTGCCCCCACTTTGGGGCATTGAAATGCAAATTTGGCCAAATAAAAGTTAATGGGCCATGTGAATGGCAAAAAAAAAACAAATCCAAAAGCTAAAACCACAACAGCCTCCTGCTCCACCTTTAGCCCCTTCCCCACCTCCTTCTACTCCAGCCGCTGCTGCTGCCGCTCGTGAGTATGTGCAATGGGAAATGACTTTTATTGCCTGGTTTTTCTTCAGCTGTTTTTCTACATGCATCTGTTTTTTTTTTGTGAAGTTTGTTGTTTAAGTCTTTTGTTTGGCCTCTGCTGCGATTTCAAT